ATAGGGAGGTTTAGTCCCACGAAACGGATACGGGAACGTGGGTGATACGCGTAAAGCTCCTGCAATGGACTCACGTTTGCAATGTTGTGTTTAATAACACGGAACAAACAAAAGCATGAAGCGAAAGGCCCAAACCTGGTCAAAGACGAAGCTTAGAAGCTCATCGAATATTTTGATTTCGAGCTTTGGAAACTTCTTCAGCTGAGCACCGTCACGATCACAGCTCGCACAATACGCTCCATTCTGATTTTCACCCACGTTCTGGCGGAACGTGGGTGAGCCTCCATACACGGTATGTCGTGAATCAGAAAACGTCTATCCCGTGGACGTGGCCGTAGGTCACTGCGCGCGCTGAGTATCACGTGGTAAACACACGTAAATTACCCACGGATTACGTGGGACTAAACCTCCCAGGCCCTAGGCGCTAGGCCCTAGGCCCTATAGCCTAATGCTGCACGTACGTGTCATATCACGCGAAGTCGGTGACTTGAGGCGCCTTTGGAACCTCCTTTGCAGCGCTGGATTCGCACATACACAGCTAGCACCCGGATAGGTGTGTGAATGACTCGAGTGACAAATAGGACGCGATAATTTACCTTCCGTCAAGAGCAAGAATGAATGTGCGAATAATGAATAGTCCTACACAGCAGACCTCACATTGTCACAGTAGTAGAGAGTGGTGGCGTATCTCGGGAAATGGAAATGTTAGTTTGACTGACACTGGCGATAATGCACTACTGGTATAGTTTTGCATTAGCTGTCTACTACATGTAGTACCAAATGCACCCCACTATGTGAAACCTCTTTTTACGGGCAAAAGAAACACAATGGATGAAAATGCAGTACAAATTTATTGCAAACCTAGAAAACCAGAAAAGGAAAAAAATGTAACTCAAAAGAAAAGGCACCTTGTCACAGTAAGCAAGAGGTAGACAAAAGGAAGTAAAATGTAGCTGTTTCGTTGATACTCAGAAGTCGTACAAGTAGTATGCAGTATCCAGGAGCAACGGGGTTTTGGATCGGGTGCAAACGATTCGTTCGACCTCCTTGCATTTGGAGTAGATTCAATGTCTTTCCTATTTCATGCGTATGTTGGTCGTTCACATGTTGCCCCAATCCAGATCAACGAACTGTTTCGCAATCGATTAGAAAAAATGGTAATGACGATCGCTCAGGGATTGTCGAGAACACAATAATTGTCCTTCGTTCGTCTGTTATCAGTGTTACAGTCCTGGCCAGAGAAATCCGATCTACTGAATATACAGTCGTCCCTCTCTAATCCAGCACTTTATAATCCAGCACCCTCGATAAACCTGCACAATTTTCAGTAGCCAAAATGTCCTCTTCATGCACATTCTAGCAGTAAATCCGATTTGCTAATCCAGCACCCTCCCTAATCCAGCAGAATTTCCCTGGCACAAATGGTGCCGGATTATAGAGGGACCGCTATACATGACTGATAGTGCTGGGGGCTACGCAGCCCTAGTACCACGCACAAGCGCAGCACAACGTTGTTTATCTGGTCGGATTTCTCTGGCCAGAACTGGTCCTGCCATTCAGTGTTTCCACGTTACGTTGCATGTGCTTTCGGGCATATTCGAGTTACTCCGATCCTAAGTCCTAACTACAAAACTAAACAGTAAAAGACTAATCCGATCGAGTCACTCAAGTCCGCGCCGGGCGTTGAGCAGCCCTGCTTCATTAGTGTAGACCAGGGAGTCGTAAAAGCCCGGGAGAGGACACGGCACACATTCCCAGAAAACATCTTTGCCTCGCGCTGCCGGGGAACGCTGCCAGGGAACGGTGTTGCGAGGCAAGGAAATTATTATTTTCGAAAATTGTGATGTCTTCTTGAAATACTAATTGGGACATTCTCCGATTTCTCTTAGAGCACGGAGACGATTGCTCCGTCGAGTCTTCTGATCTCTATTTTCATCCTCATCTTCCAGCTGCCTCACTTATTCTCTCTCAGTTTATCGAAGTTAATTTATTCTGAGGCGATGGAAATGCAAGACAAATCCCTAATTGTACTTCACTTTTATTTGAGTTGGGGTGAACGAAATGAGATTTGTGGAAAATGACGCCACTTCCCGTGTTAGCCGCTGGTCGTATCATACAGCCCATATTCCATTGCAGGTGATGGGCCAACGTTCGTGTTGAGATCCGCTGAGTTTCCTCGTACTCGTGGAGTTGAATTTGTGGCAGAAATTGCACTGAATTGCAGTCAAATGGTTGTGAATGAAACGAGATTTGTGGAAAATGACGCCACTTCCCGTGTTAGCCGCTGGTCGTAGCATACAGCCCATATTCCATTGCAGGTGATGGGCCAACGTTCGTGTTGAGATCCGCTGAGTTTCCTCGTACTCGTGGAGTTGAATTTGTGGCAGAAATTGCACTGAATTGCAGTCAAATGGTTGTGAATGAATCGAGATTTGTGGAAAATGACGCCACTTCCCGTGTTAGCCGCTGGTCGTAGCATACAGCCCATATTCCATTGCAGGTGATGGGCCAACGTTCGTGTTGAGATCCGCTGAGTTTCCTCGTACTCGTGGAGTTGAATTTGTGGCAGAAATTGCACTGAATTGCAGTCAAATGGTTGTGAATGAAACGAGATTTGTGGAAAATGACGCCACTTCCCGTGTTAGCCGCTGGTCGTAGCATACAGCCCATATTCCATTGCAGGTGATGGGCCAACGTTCGTGTTGAGATCCGCTGAGTTTCCTCGTACTCGTGGAGTTGAATTTGCGGCAGAAATTGCACTGAATTGCAGTCAAATGGTTGTGAATGAAACGAGATTTGTGGAAAATGACGCCACTTCCCGTGTTAGCCGCTGGTCGTAGCATACAGCCCATATTCCATTGCAGGTGATGGGCGAACGTTCGTGTTGAGATCCGCTGAGCTTCCTCGTACTCGTGGAGTTGAATTTGCGGCAGAAATTGCACTGAATTGCAGTCAAATGGTTGTGAATGAAACGAGATTTGTGGAAAATGACGCCACTTCCCGTGTTAACCACTGGTCGTATCATACAGCCCATATTCCATTGCAGGTGATGGGCGAAAGTTCTTGTGGAGATCCGCTGAGCTTCCTCGGCGTACTCGTGGATTTATGAATTTGTGTCAGAAATTGCAGTCGAGTGGACTTCTGTGCGTGTGTTGTGAGTAAATCGCGACGGCTCCCTTCCTTCAGCATCGTCAAAACGCAACATAGAGCATTATTACGCACTCGTTCCATGATTCATGATAATGCCTGGATTCTTTTAAAAACAATCAATGTGTGTTCCCTATCTATCTACATTGTACATGGTTGCAGGTCGTTATTTATAAATCTTGATAATTTCAACACTTTTCCACTCGTATACTGAGTACGCGGTGACTTGAGCCGTTTAGGAAACGGAAGTCTTGGCGAGTGTACAAAAGGTAAACCTATCATTTGTACTTCATAACGGAATTGTGCACAAAAATGCACACACACGTTCGCGCGCACACACACAAGCACACACACAAACACTGTACAAACACACACAAAAGTACAACTACAAGCACATGTGCACATACACACGCCTCCCCCCCCCCCCCACACACACACACTCAACTCCCCACCCCTGTACTGAGTCTGACAGACATACAATCATGTTTATCCTTCCTTCGCCACCAGTTTCGGATAATGGTGTCAACAACGAGTTGTAAAATATTGGTATTTTAGGACTCCCTGCCCTGAAGACAAGCACAGCGCCGTGGATCGAGCAGATCCGGCCGCGCCGGCCTAGCGTGCTTCACTTTCTGGCCGAGGCAAACATCGTCCGCGTGCGCGCATCCCGTGTCCTCTCCCGGGCTTTTAGTTTTACGACTCCCTGGTGTAGACCTGTGAATTTTCGGCGCGGGTTGCGAGATGCGAAAGGCGCCAACTGACTCAAGCGATCGGATTTCAGTGGGCTGCAGCACTGTAATCTACATGATGTATGGAATCGAGCATGAGTACGAGGACGAAAGTGCGGAATCGGAGCCCGACGCGCGCTAGCGCGGAGGGCTCCGATTCTAGCACTTGAGTCCGAGTACGAATGCTTTGATACCATTTCTGACATGCATTGCACGAACTACTTCGTACTACTAGTACTACTACATGTAGTACTTCACACATACCTAGTACCTACTCAAGGCACGCACACTAGACCAGACAAGGAACACAACTAGTCGCCAGTTTAGTACTTCAGACATGTTACATAATGACTAATGTACACAGTCACAACACAGAGATAAAACAAGGGCGGTCTAGTCAGCTAAAAACCAGGTCAGTTCAGCTTCTCTTCTTCGCAGTGACTACAGCCTACAGCCTACAGGTGCAGGTGAACATTGCAGTTTGCACCAAACTGAGCTCCGGAAAAGTTGATGGTCTTCGTAGCTTTCTGCATCAGAGACCGTTGGTGAGTTGGGGATTGCACTGTTGGGTCACAAGTTGCGATGTACTCATCAATGTCGGGATCGTGGAACTCAGTCTGCTGCTGTGATCGCTGAACGCTCGTTGTTGGCGCTGTAAGAGCACGGGTAGCAGCATTGGTTGCAGTTGGAGACTCTCCATCCAGAACTGCAGCCATCTCTTTTCTCTTTTGTTCTGAATTCCTGTTGGCATATGAAAAAAAAAGCGGCCTCTGATGGCTGAATCGGAGCACGCCTGGGCGTGCTCCGATTGGAAAATCGGAGACCTGCAAGCGCTCACAGGTCTTCAGTGGCTGATTCAAAGCACGGCAAGTCGCGCTAGGATTCGCTGTTGCCATGTCGATTGTCATGTGACATGTCAGAAATAATTATCGTATAATTATATTCTGTCAAAGCGCTGCAAGCTTGCAAGCTAAGTACAATGTTCAAAAAATGGAATTTTGTTGGTTCAAATGATCGCACCTTGTCCTTGGCGAGTGGAGATAGAGTGATAGTGCTTCGCGTCTGCGCAGTGAGTAGATCTACGCAGAGTTTTTTCACACTTTTATATACTATTGTACACGTAAAGGCATCAAGATTGGGTAACAAAACAGTAACTGAACGATGCAATACTTTCTTCCGTACAGTAAAACTGATTTCCACTATGCCTATGGAGTCTGTTTTGAAGCGAAGAATGTCTTGAAAATAGTTTAGCTTAGCCAAAGAAACACCGCTTTCTGTGTAGAACATTTTTGCCGCCTGAAAGGACAGGAGAGCTGGGAGGGCAACTGTAGGACGTGATGCAAAATGTTGCTTCACTGCCTTCTAGGTTTGGCGGTCACATTGGGTCTTCATGTTGGAGCAGCAACATCGCTGGAGCCACCAGGAACGTTCATGGAGCACGTCGTCTTGGACCAGGGAGCTGTGCAGCGGAGTTACGCATTCTGCAATGACTATTCTCCGGCACACTACTACGTCGACTCACCATTGGTAGATGATTTACACGGTGCTTTGCCTTTTTCGAGAAAAACCTGGATTGTTTTTCTGGAAGGTGGCGGAGTTTGCCAGAATCCTGCGCACTGCTCTTCCCGATACTTCTCATCGTCGAGACGGCTGATGACTTCGTCGAATAGTGGCCCCCTAATGTCGATGCCCTGGTGGTGGCCATTCAAACTGGAAGGTTGGACGATATTGTCTCGTCATCAGGATGTAAACCCGGTTTTTCACAAGGCAAGTCGGTTGGTTATGCCTTACTGCAGCAGCGACCTGTGGCTTGGTCGCTCGAAAACAAATATTTTGACTAGCGTGAAGTTCAAGTACCTCTCGGGGCTGCCGGGACATAATAGATCCACCTATTCGGTGCTGGGCAGTCTGATGGCATTCCGAGGAGTGGCAATCTTCCGCACCATATTCGCCGAAGCCTGGCGTAAGCACGGAATGCGAAAGGCTCGTCGCATCCTGCTAGCAGGAAGCAGCGCCGGCGGAATCGGCGCACTGAACCAGGTCGAATGGGTGGTGAACTTCATCGCCAAGAACACAGATTCGAACAACGAGATTCAAGTGTCGGTCTTGTCGGATTCGTCATGGTTCGTGGACTTCCGCGGCGTGTTGTCAAGTCGCATACATCCTCTGTGGGTTCAGTCCTATCTCAGAGTTCCGGCTAACGACAACGGCCGACCTGGCGGAAATGCAACTGACCGACCACCCTCCGTCCAAGCAATGTCATCCTTCGACTCGCCGAACAATCTTCCAGTCAACTTCTGCAGCCAACCCGATGGTGGTTATCCATGCTGTCTTTCGCTGCAGTGCGTTGTGAGAAGTCGCCACCAGCTGGGCTTTGTCAAGCAACCTTTCATGATCGTCAGCAGTCGGTTCGATGCGTATCTTCCCAGTGTAGCCGCTCAAGAGGCGTTGGCCGTCATAACGGAGCGGAGCTTGAGATACTTGCAAGCCGCCCGACTGGCGGTGGAGTTCGGAGGCGTGCAGATCCTATCGCTGATGCAACGACACATGGACAGCGGTTTCCAGTCGTCCTACATACCTGCGTGCACGCAGCACGTCTATCTTGCGACGTCGAACCTTTGGGCAGGCGATGGATTACTGGGAGCGATCATGGCCAGCGTGTTCGGAGGAAATTCCAAGGGACAGGTGTTCGTGTAAGTTTTGAAATTGCAGGTGAAGCTCTGTATACAACCTATCCTGTTTGATAATGGAAGAGCCATTTTGGAAACGTCAATTTGAATATAAGCCTCATTATGTCTATACACACCAAACTTACTGTAGCATAATTATGACATTCGTGTTGTTGCTGGGATCCCCAAAGGAAAAAAACTCGCACTGGTCTTGTGCCATTGCCAATATTATTGTGAGGTCCATAGTCAACCAACGCATTGAACGCATCCACAGCTTTGTCCACCGTTTCAAGAAGGCCTTGCCGGATTTCAATCTGGGCAAATACGGTAATGTTCATATGCAGAGTTTGGATGCAAAACGTGGCACACTCACTTCATGGCTTTTCAGATATTGACCAAAAATGGATTCAAGTTATGTGCGCTTTGCATCTAAATCCATAATTGGGCACCACTATTGAACTGGTTTTAGTCAGATTTTCAATGTGAAACTTTGCCTGAAAGTGCCTGTGGAACGTGTGATCACATTGAGCTCAAAAATCTTTAGAAACCTCTAATTTGGCAGTTGTCTTGTTTTGCATCTTATCTCTTCATATGAGCAGAGCACTGCTTGCTAGGACACACTTCTCTAGCATATACAAGTAATTGTAGAGTTGTCACTGGTACACAGTGCACATCTGTACTGTTTGCAACCTGGCGTTCCTCCTGCAGGCATGACATTGGCAAAGACTTGTGGAACACGATCTGCATCCCCGACCTGACGCCCGAATGCCAACCAGAGCTAGCGGAAAACACTTCAGCGGGCACATGCGAGGCGGACTCCACCGGCACGTGTGCCAACGCACGCAAGTGCATAACTTTGCGCGAGTCGATCATGATCTGGTGGCTCGAGACGGCACCGGATGCAGCCTATCCGAACACACGCACACTGGCCATAGACACATGCGAGGGCATCAGCTGCAACCCGACGTGCCCGGACAGCGTTCACCTGGGAAGCGTTCGCAACGACTGGACAACGGATGTTGATCTCAACGTTCTCATCGCCATCATCACCTACTCATTGGCCATCATCGCCATCTTCGTCAAGCACCGCATGTTTATATGCCGAGTACAGATACAGGATCACATTGATTTTGCCAAGCATCACCAGTCCAAGAAGATATCGGTGAGCAGCCCTTTTCAAAGTTATCATGACTAGCTGTTCTTGCCATGGAGCCAGGTGTTTGGTACTGTATTCAAAGAAGGGACAGCTATGCAGTCCTTCTCCGGTGCTACAAGCTCATGAGAAATATATCGATGGGTGGCTATGGGGTTGTTGTACAGTGTCACAGTACAGCACTCATCCACTCGTACTCACTACTTCGCCACCGAGATTTACTTCGCTCTTCAGTCCAATGCTCCCCTGACGGGCCTCACAGACACTCACAGGCACACAAACACACACGCATGCATGCGCTCCCCCCCCCCCCCCCCACCCCCACACACACTCCCCACCCCCACACACACCAACCCCTAGCTGCATCTCATGTTTGGCATATAATTGGTCTTTGTAAAAATAAAATATTTAAAAAATGCATACACATACACAAGCACACACGCACACACACGCACACACACACACACACACACACACACACGCACACACAAGCACTCAGACAAATACGTGTGTGTGTGTGTTTCCACATTTCATGTATGCGTGTTCTCTGTGTGGCGTTTCTTAGTTTCCACCGCTGGCAGCTTGCGACGCAGTCACTGTGGCCTGCACGTCCATCCACTACACCGTCAAGCTACGCGAGCCTGCTACAGATTTAGCCAGGAGGACAAGTCATAGGCAGTGTAAGACCTTAGCCCCTGGCGTGACCCTAGGGTTCTCAGACTTCCATTGTGCATCGCCGATTCATGGTGCGGAATTTTTAATTGATTATTTCAGACATAGGCAGTCCACAGTCTTCTCAAGTCCTTGGCCACGCTAGTACGAATAGATTCCTTCTGAAAAAGTTCTCCTATAGCGCATTATGAGAGCTGACAAGGCTACAACGGTGCTTCAGAGAGTTCTTTAAAAAGTCCCTATTTATCGTTAGTCGGCTTTGGTAGCAGAGGAGGAAGAGCAAGCAGCCATCTTGTCCTCGTTAAATTTATACCACAACATTTCCTTCGAATACCGTAATACTTTAACCGTAAGGCATGGAGAGCAGGATGCGAGTATATAGTAAGTCCTAGATGCTTTGTAAGTACAAATTTTCGTTTGGAATTAACTTTCGCTGTATTCGCTAGGGGCCACGAAACAACTAAAGTTTGTATCAAACTAAGGTTTTTTTCTGAACATTCGGGGTGACAGACCTCGACCAAAAACGAAATTTAGTGCATAACAAGCCTGCTGGTGGAGTGATCTAACGAAAGATTTCGTGAACAAAAATTAGTACTTATACAGTGACCAGTAAATCGATTGTGTTCGTTTTGCCTGTAAAAGAGGCTATCACACAGAAACCAGTATACAAACAAAAACATCTCTCTGCTCGCTTGGTATTTTTGCAGCTTCTCAGTCCAGTAGAACAGCTGGGTGCAGAGATCAACACAGTGTCAACACTACTCCTAGGCCATCGGACGCTCAAGTGCCTCTACAGCAACCCGATGATGAATTCGTACCAGCGCTAGTCATGCTGCCTACTGGTGGTGGTAACCGCCCACTGCCCCTGGAGCAAATCCCGGAAAGGTACCCGTCGAGTGCAAGGTCCAGTGAGCGCGGCTCCATTCTACGACGGCAAAGTCGAGTCGAGGTGAGATGGGAAACCCCCCGAGGTTATAGAATGCGAATGTTGCCATGGTGGGGACTCAGCGGAATTGCTTAAGGGGCCTGCATATGCTGTGTGAGTTGGCGTGAGGGGGGTGGTAATGTGCCGCAGTGTAACCTTGGCATGAAGCATTGCTAAAATGCCCACCCATGGTAAAATTTATTGTGGCAGTTAAGCCTTCTCAGATTTTTCAAGTTTCAAAGCCCTCAAACTCATGTGAATGTTAATCAATTTGCAGTACTGAATTATTCGATGATTGGTTTGATCAAGTCAACTTTCCTCTGAGTTCATGAATAGAAGGGTGCATACTTTATATCACCATGTGAGCATGTGTTTATGACTCAACAAATAAGGTGCAACAAGGCTTCATTGCTACTCAAGTTTCATGCTTGTACGACCATCGGGCAAAAATATAATTCTAGAAGAATGAAGGAATGATGAGATGATTGTGCGAGTGTGAAACGTCAGTCGCAATAATGCCCTGTTGCACCATATTTTTTGTAGGGAGGCTCTACTCACTTCGTCTTTGGGCACTGTGTCAACATTGGACCATCTCTACTGTGGGTATGACTCTATGCTATTCAGGAGTACGAAGGCAACGAAGAGTCTTCTAAAAACCTCCGTAAACTGTCAACAGTGTCCTCTATAAAGAAAGTGACAATCAAGGATGATGTAATGGAGATGCCAGCGTCGAATACAGGCACAAGCAGAGCTACATTTTGCGGCACGCTCACAGCGACATGGAACCAGCGGCGACCTCAGTGGTTTGAGGAGCGGCAGTCGCGCACGGCCAAAGTTGACACCAGATCGATTTCCTCTCAGAGAAGACGGGACACGCCAACGTCCAGGATGAAATCCAGCGCTTCTACCGCCGAGCTAGGCCTAGAGGAGATGGGTCCGCATCCGGCGTTGCCTCTTGCCGACAACGAGAAAAGACTGCTCTCTCAAGTGTCCACCATCTTCCGTCCCGGTGAACTGATCGCCATCATGGGACCGAGTGGCTGTGGCAAAAGCACTCTACTGGAGCTGCTGGCTGGGCGCCGTGACTTTGCTGCCAGTGACCATCATGTGGAGGTGAGACATACACTAAAACCTGTAACTACCGACCACCCATTGGTGCCAGCAAAAACGGTCTTTAGTGGCAGGTGGTCTTTAGTTAGAGGTTTGCACCTACCATATTTGGACCCCATTATATGATATATATGTCCAAATGCAGCTAATACAATTCCCCACTACCGTATTTCCCCGTAAGTAAGTTCTTTCCAATGACTTAGTACCCCCTATAAAAAATACTAGGGGTGAAACGAGTATCTATTTTGACCAATCGATCACTCGTTCATAATATTCGATCGAGTATCCGATTATTTCGAGTATTTTATCAAAATTCAAAAGCACTAGATTTCCGAGTTCTCGACCAATTCGGAAGAAATTATCTGTGAACATAGCACAAAATTCGCCAACGTCTTGTACAGACTTAGAAGTTGCGACTTCGGCGGTAATGGTCATGAAGTTGATTGTTCCAACTAGGAACACACGCTTCTTGCCGAACTTGACACTTGACTGACTCACGACTGCCATCCGGAGCACACGAGGAGCACGTCGCACCTTCCACTCGGCAAACCTGCAAGAAAGCACCACTCCCTGCTCAATACACGGTGTTTCGGGGAATTCACCCCTCATCAAGTTCGGCAAGAAGCGTGTGTTCCTAGTTGGAACAATCAACTTTATGTCTTGTACAGAGTGTAAAGTAACGATTTCATCAGTACTTTCATATCTCAGAACGGTACTTGCCGTGGTGATCGCATCGTCCAAGTCTTTTAAAAATACTGACTTAAAGCCATGCATAACGCATGCATACCAGTGGACCAGCGGTACAACAAAAGTTTTTGAAAATACAATGCCAATACTAAAAAAATGCAATAAATACGATCGAGTGCAAAATTTCGAATACTCGCTCGTTTGAAATTTTCGAACGAAATACTCGAATATTCGAACTAATCGTTTCAACCCTAAAAAATACACTTTCCACTGCCGAGGTTATCACCCCGAAAGACAATCCCCCCCCCCCGAAAGATAGTAAGTTCGTACCCATCCTACATGTACAGACACCGTACAGTACATACATCATATGCACGGACACTAGAGTTGCGCAGGCTTCCCAGTGCGTGTCATTTACCCCCGATAAAAAATTACTCCCCGAAAGATAGTACCACCCCCGAAAGTTAGTACTCATGTGGCTGCTAAGTTCGAAAGTTAGTACGTACTAACTTACGGGGAAATACGGTACTTGCGCAATGTCATTCCTATTTCAGGTCAAACCACACTTGGAGAGAGAGAGACGAAGAGAGACAGAGAGAGACAGAGAGAAGATAAATCTTTTGCAGACATCAAATTCAGCCGCTACTTCTGAAGCCAGGAGTCAAACGTTCCCTGTGGAAGTTTCGTTTTGCGCTGGGCTTCAAATAATTTGTTCGCGCGATCAATCGTACCGACTGTCCTTGTGACTTCTTGATTGCTTGATTCTGCTTTGTTTCTGGATTCCCCGATGCTATCCTCGACTGTATGACTGGGGTGACAGAGCCGCTCAGTCTTCGTTTCTCCTCCGAGTAGTAACATCGATCAGAGAGCGCTTTCGATACGCTCTCCAAGACGTTTCCTTTCATGTTTATCCTTGACAGCGCTTGAACTTTTGACAGGTGTAGTGCAGTCCACACCGACTCCACAGTCAAAATCACCTGCGTTCATTTGTTCAGCTGTAGTATTGAAAGAGTCCTTTCAGGACCATGTAAATCAGGAAAGTTTCAAGAATGAGCTTCGAGCAACATTTGATTTCCTACATGGCGGTTGCTAGTTACCGGTCAAAAATCGTCTTTGGGGCAAGAAAAGGCGGTCGCTGGTCGTGTTCAGCAGGTAGCCGCTAGTCACAGTGCGTTTTGAATGTGAGACTGTCCGTGCCTGGTGAAGTGATTGGTAGTACCTGGCTGGTTGCTAGTCACGGTGGTCTTTAGTCACAGGTTTTACTGTAGATAACGTGTCTACTATGGCTTTACTGGAAAGCTCTTTCCCTGCTCGTCATCTTCCACATGCTTTCAGAGCATACAGTACGCCAAGGACGCCCCTAGCCTCGTCACCAGTGTCCCTGTCATGCTTCTAGTTTGGCATCAATACCACACACAACAGTGTCCTTCGGTTTGGGGCTCATACTCAACATAGAACTACGATTCAAACTGCACCGAACTCGTGAGATTCAAGCGATTCAATCGATCTACTCATTCGTCATGTTGTCCTTGACACATCATTTGGAAATCCCTTTGAATGCCTTGAAAGTCGTAAAAATCGCTGCACGGACACTAAGAAAATGTTAAGATTGAAATCGCACGTTCAATTCATTGCCGCTCGTTCAATCTATTGCCGCTTGATCATTTGTTGAGCTATTGCCCCACTTATACACCTCTGGAAAGCCCTTCTCAAGGCCGTTCCAATGAGATATTGATCATGGCGACGTGATGTTTCGTTCCTGAGTTATGGCTGTTCGTACAGTGATCCATCCAGTGCATACGGTATGTGCACTGTACGCAAAGTATAACGCGAGTAGACTCGTCATTGCCCAGACACGATGGAGTCTGCCTGATGAGTATACTCGTCACAAACCTGGAAAGAGTTTTAACGCTTTCGTAGCCATCTCATCAGAAGGATTGTGCTGGCACAGCCAAACGAATGGCAACGGCAACAAAAACGTTTAAGGATACGGAACTTTAGCCAATGGTGTATGCTGACTTCGCAACTCGCCCTACTTTATGAGTTCAAATCAGTTTCACAAATGTGTTTGTGCAAGTCGCAATGGAGACAGCATTATAAACCTTTCAGTTTTGCGGAGGAGGGAACTCCGTTTCGCTTCGGTACTTGTGTATGCTTTCCAGTGTGCAGTAATCATACTCTTGATTCAGTATTTTTTAACAAATCACGATGTACTCCCACAATATGTGTTGTGATAAATGCAACCAGGGGAACATCTTTGCCGGTGGCAAGTCTCTGCGTCACAGCTCTGTGCTGAAAAGCTATATCGCGGACGCTGGCTACGTGCGTCAACTGGCCACACCATACTATGAGGAACTGACGGTGCGAGAGAACCTGGTCTTGGCTTCGTTCCAGCGCCTGCCCAGCGACGAGACGATAACGTACAGGGTGATGAGAGTGGAGGGCATTATCAGCTTGGTAAGGCAGATGTGTGGGTGGGTGTGTGTACATTTGTGTGTGTGTTTGTTTGTGTGTGTGTGTGTGTGTGTGTGTGTGTGTGTGTGTTTGTGCGTGTGTGTTTGTGCGTGTGTGTTTATGTGTTTGTGTGGGTACGTGTTTTTATGTTTTTTTTCTACAAAAATCCAAATATCTCCATACACTGGGGTGAATAATGGAGTATGGTGGCGGGGCCCATTAAGCTCATCCGACCAGAGGTCTCGGCTTCATAGCTCCTTGGATGCACCAATGTGTGTGTGTGTGTTTGTGTGTGTGTGTGTGTGTGTGTGTGTGTGTGTATGTGTGTGTGTGTGTGTGTGTGTGTGTGTGTGTGTGTGTGTGTATGTGTGTGTGTATTTGTGAGTGGGGTCGTAAAGGTAGTGGTATGTCCATAGTTAGTGTGACGATATTGTGGTGTGTGAGCACTCAGTGGTAAGATCAAATAACCAAAATTAATACCGTAGAATCCCGCGTATAAGCCCAGGCCAATTTCGAACATCGTGAAGCTTTGTTGTACAACCCCATGTGCCTACATTGTAGGTCATACCATGTACGTAGCACATGTACAGTACAACCTGGTGTAAGCGACCACCTGCTCTTAACGACCACCTGCTCTTAACGACCACCTGCTCTTAACGACCACCTGCTCTTAACGACCACCTGCTCTTAACGACCACCTGCTCTTAACGACCACCTGCTCTTAACGACCACCTGCTCTTAACGACCACCTGCTCTTAACGACCACCTGCTCTTAACGACCACCTGCTCTTAACGACCACCTGCTCTTAACGACCACCTGCTCTTAACGACCACCTGCTCTTAACGACCACCTGCTCTTAGCGACCACCTGCTCTTAGCGACCACCTGCTCTTAGCGACCACCTGCTCTTAGCGACCGTTTTTCCATGCACGGACAGTTCTACACAGACACTGTGGGATCTGGTTCTAAAAGACCACCTGGATTTAACAACCGCTTTTGCGTGCACCGTGGGGTGGTCGCTTAAACCAGGTTTCACTGTATTTGTTGTACATTTCAACACTATCATCGGTTGTTTTTGCTTGAACAGTGGTTTTCAGCAATGTGCTTCTCACTGCCTCGGTAATTTTCAATAGCACAATTTTGGTGTCGGCGTATAAGCCCATGCTCGCGTATAAGCCCACCAAAAAATCCTTGTGAAACAGACAAGCCAATGGGCTTATCCGCGGGATTCTAAGGTAATGGTAGTCATAAAGCATGGCACGCTAGAAGCAGAGTGGCAAAGAAACGGTTGCGCTGGGTCGGGTGTCAAATTGCTGAGGCCCAGAGTGAAACAAGCAATACAAAACTTAAAATGCGTCTATGGTTTCCACTCTGTAGATTGGCTTGGACAACTTTGCTGACACAGCTGTCGGCAGTTCAACAGGACCCGGCCTAAGCGGAGGGCAGGTAAGAGACATTGTGCCCCTCAAACAAATCTGTTTTAGAGGACACCAAGAGTACACGAAACGCAGAGTGTGCAGCTCTGATGGGTTGCTGTCACGGCGAAATTTCGTGATTACATCATTTTAGTGACATTGTGTGTACAAGCAGGATTCAAGCGGGTCTCTTCCTGCACAACTGCAGCTCATTTGTACGCACTATGCCACTTCCCGTCTTGTATCAGCAGCGAAACGGTATATTGTATATGACGTAACCCCGAAATATCGCCGTGACAGACACCCATCCCCCGAACGTATTATGTACAGCAAAGCCTTTGCCTTGTTTAACCCTTTATGTACGGTGGTGTGTACATGAATCGATCACATATGATCGATTCATGATTGATCCGTAAAACCTTCGTAACTCCATCATGTCTTGTCCGAATTCAACAATCAAAGGGTCTATTCGGTAGCGGAAACTCCAAGCGTTCCAATGCAACAATCGCCGAAGAGCTACGATGTACGAATCCAGAGATATCGCGCGCCGCATTCTTGTCTCAGCAAATTCAAATTTGTGTCGATCTCTTTGCCATTTTAGGGGAAAATCCCTTTTCGTGTGCTCTTTGACCAACTCAGTATATGATAATGACGTAGTTGGCTGAAGTTTGAATCGACTCCGAAAGATTTGAGCGTTCTGCGATAGACGAGAGTGGAATGGCGTTGATGGGGAAATTTGCTCACATATTGGGCTTGGAGACGACTTTGATGTGTTCCTACGCCCGATTTGTGGCAGCTAGTTGATAGAGCCTGGCATTCTGGCGTTGCTCTCGCCAGGAGCTTTCCAAAGAGCCCAAGATTGTGGAAATGGAGCGAAGGAGGCCAAAGTTATAGCCTGTTGAAGGTGAAAATTGTGCAGAAAATTCAAATTCTGCTTCATTCTGTACTGGAAATCAGTACATTAAGGGTTCATCAGCTCAAAGTCTTAAAGTGAGAGTGATCGGAGATCAGAGCAATCTTTCAGCAAAGGCAGGATACTGCGATGCAATAAAAAGTGCTGCTAATGATTTCACATATTTCGGGCCCTTCAAATGCTGCAGAAACGCCGACTATGCATCGGCCTTCAACTCATCCACTTGCCAAAAGTGCTGTTTCTGGACGAGCCAACATCAGGTACGTAGTATGCACCATGAACTAGTTGTCGTGCCTATAATGCCACATTATGCATTTCAATGTTGAGAGTATTCTTGGGAGCTAGCAATAAGAAATTTAGCAACTTGTACATGCAGTCTCCACCTGCAGAGTTGCTACTGCATCCAGCAGCAGCAGCAGCAGCAGCAACAGCAGCAGCAGCTGGACAAGGGTGGTTGAATGGCACCTCAAAGTAACTTGTTCAAAGATTTCTTCATCTTGAATTTTTGATTTAGAGTGGGTGTCTTTTTCTAGATAGTGAATGTGTAACCCTTTTGCCCAATGGCATTTTTGCTTCCACATACAGGCCTGGACTCAACATCGACAATGGAGATCCTTGAAGTGCTCGCCAATATTGCAACGTCTGGTCGTCTTGTCATCCTTTCTATTCACCAGCCGCGCACAGAAGTGGTGCACATGTTCAACAATATCCTGTTCCTGCATGACGGCAAAGTAATCAGTGTGTGTGTGTGTGTGTGTGTGTGTGTGTGTGTGTGTATGTGTGTGTATATGTGTGTGTGTGTGCGCATGTGTGTGTATGAGTGTGTGTGTCTGTGTGCGTGTGTGTGTGTGAGTGTGTGTCTGTGTGCGTGTGTGTGTGTGTATGTGTGTGTGTGCATATGTGCACGTGTAGCGTTGCACGTACATGCGTATGGTGTGTGTATGTGGGTGTGTTTGTGTGCGTTTGTGTGTGCAAGGGTATGGACATTTACGGCAGTGGCAAATGACATCCAAACTCTTGCTTTTTCACGTACGAGTGCTGCGGAGCTAAAAACGACTTGTAGAAAGTAGCTCACACGCGTCGGGCATGCCAGCAAAACACGTGATGATCACTTCATGGCCTTCAGTTTCTGGCTTTGCGTATGGCTGCGTACTACTGCATTCATGTGTGTTGCTGCACTGCGAACAGCACACTTGTTGTACACAACTGTGTTTGGTGTCACTGCACCTTACGGCATGAGTACAGTACAGAAGTACAGACATGTACTGTATGCGTACCTTGCCCGTGCTTCAAGGCTGGTACTAAGAAAGTTGTGGACACCACGTACCCGCATTATGAAGAAGGGGGGGGGGGGGGTGACTGGCTTGTAACGCCAATAATTTTTTCGACATCACAATAAAGAATTTTTCATCCAGCGCATGCACAGATTGTGAACAGCAACTGAATAGAGTGGTCGTCACTTGACAACTTCCTTTCTTTTTAATTCTGGCGTAGTCAAATTCGGCACTTGGGTGTGTCTATGTTTGTGTATCTTTGTTTCAATTCTCCAGGTCATGTTTTATGACTCTCCTGTCGTGTTTCCTGGACTTTGGGTGGACAAATACCTCAGCTTGATTGGACGACGCGATATTCCCGATCAAGATGAAGAGGACCTGGAAGACCATGTCGACGAAAACTCCCTGATGGGAGCGGAGAACACCAACATAGCTGGTGGGTATTCTATTTCCCCTATTCTCTCTGTCTGTGTGTGTGTGTGTGTGTGTGTGTGTGTGTGTCTCTCTCTCTCTCTCTCTCTCTCCCTCTCTCTTTGTCTCTCTGTCTCTCTGTTTGTCTCTCTGTGTCTATCTTTCTTTCTGTGTGTATGTGTGTGTGTGTGTCTCTCTCTCTCTCTTCCTCTTTCACTTTATCTCTCTCACCCCATAAACACATCTATCTATCTGTAGCTATCTCAACCTGGTGCCTCTCCCCCTTGCTCACACTGTCTATCTTTGTTTCCCTTCTTGGTCATCTAACTATATCTTTCACATTCCCCTGGCTCTTACATCTGTCACTTGAATAGTGGATTTCTGTTTCTTCCCCTGCTTTAGTGAGCTTTCTCCTTCTAACAGAATAAGGCTGGAAAAATGTTAAGACTGGTGTTTTGCAGTTAATATCAGTATACATCTGTGAATGTATGCCCAGGAGTGAAGTGGGAGTCTCACATTCTTCAGAGTATGGTAATACTCTGATAAGGCGCTCACCACGGTAAACACGAATGTTTACTTGGTAACCGAAGTAACCCGTACAAGAGAGCTTGGAAGCTCAGGGCCCTACGCTATGCTTAAAACTTATCTGTGCCCTGTTTCTGCAGACAAGATGATGGATCTGCTCAAGGACCCAGACCTACGCGAGCTCTTTCAGACATACAATAGGAAGTACGGATGGCAGCAGGACGATGTCGTAAGGGAGGTGAAGGTTCTGCGAGAGAAGGACAAAGAACGCTTCTTCAAAGCTGAGCAAGCCGAACAAAGAAGATGTAGTGGTCAGCTGGACAAAGATAAAGGGGCCAAAGAAAAAGGGGCCAAAGATAAACAACGTCCTGACGTTAAGAGAGGTTCATCGGTGCCCGAAATTGCCAGGCACAGGTACATCCGTGCATTCATTCCATTGCTTGACAATGATGATGTCGAAAGTCAGCAAATGTTGACAAGTGACGCCGTCTGGGCTAAATTGGTTTCATTCTGCTCGTAGCGAAGTGTGCTATGTGTTGGGTAGGCCCCTTGTCTTGCATGAAGGTGTGTTCTGTATGCACCTGAGGTGGGCTCTCACAACTACAAGTTCCAGGCCACTTACTACCTGACAGATTTGCCATTCTATTGTGAAGGAAAACTACCCAGACATAATAATATGGATCCAGGCAAAAAGTGGAGCAGAGGATTATAGCTGATGTAGTTGTAAGAGGATCACATGCAGAGTGAACGGCCGAGTGGAGCATGTTATGGTTTGGCTGAAAGGGTGAGTGGCCGGGTGTGTGCAGCCCGAGTGTGTAAATTCTCATTTTCTCTGAAAAGGCGACGTGCAGACAGTAATCTTAATAAAATAAAGAATAAAACTTTCTTCATTACCTTCAGCCACGAGATTCCATTGATAATTGTGATGAGAAAACGTGCTTGAACTCCTTATCCATTGCTATGATTGTGATATGAGTGCCCACATCATTTAATTCATTTTCTTTTTTTCGATTCACTTATCTGATCCATGTTCCTCTCTGCAGTTTACAGAACGTCAGCAAGCGCACATCTGGTCTTTGGAATCGCATTTTAGTGTGGGATTGCCGTGCCACTCTGCGCTCCAACAGCGTGACAAGAATGTACCTTCCCATTATCATGGGTGGCATGTTCCTAGGACTAGGTATGGCAAATGTGTGTGTGTGTGCGCGCTCGCGTGTGTGTTCATTGTGTGTGTGTGTGTGCGAGCGCTCGCGTGTGTGTTCATTGTTGCACTCTCTGATTCAGTACTGTACTGCTATGCTCTCCAATTTCCGAGGAAAACGTTCTGTGTAGTGTGCCCGACTACATGCATGCATGTGTGCACGACAGGCCAATATATGCGGATCCATCTTTTGTCTTCTACCCTCTGCTTTCACAATTCGCCAGCCTCTTCTCAATGTTTCAAGCAAGCAGCAATGTGTGCGTGTTCCACCCGTGTACGCATAATATATGTGTGTGCACTCTTTGGCAAGAGGCTGAACATTGATGGACTTTTACGAATGGTCACAACTACATTGTCTGTTGATGGCTTGCAGGCGCAGCGTACTACCAAACTGATGACTTGCTGCTGCTCCTGAGCGCTCTGTGTCTTTGGACACTTGCCAGCTCACTGTTCATGACTCCGGCGATCCATTTCCACCTGGTAAAGGCTTTCGAGGTAAGCTAGGTAGAAGACCATAACGGATTCACGGGAGAATGCCTTTGTTCACCACTAGTTGACAACTTGTGGACACGTACATTTGGTGCCCGCGATTAGGGGTCATCGCAAGCTCACATCAATGTAGAGTCACCAAACTACCGCTATTCTGTAAACCCATTATTCTTGGAGCAGTGCAGCGCTCCAATGCCTCAAAAAACTTCTGTTGTATTATATATTGTCCTTTTTTCATGTGTAGATCTTCAAGTTGGAACATGATGACGGTATTGGACTGACTCTGGATCTGGTGCTGCAGACGTTTGTCCGCTTCCTTGCCCTGGCTGCTGTTCCAATCATCTTGGACACACTCCTTCTGTACCTTATGGTAAGAACTTTATTAGCATCAACGCAAATTTTAATAAGGCTGAGGTCTCCAGGGGGTTTATATAACTTTCATTGCATCTCCTTTTATTTTTTTATAATGTTTTAACCACAATACTGATTAAATGCACGTACGCATTGCAGCTGATTCACTCTTGCTATTCTGTGCCGATTTTCTTTATCGGTTTGCGTTGTGCTAGATCACATCTCCGAAGAATCGCAGCGTTTCTGACATTCTGGTACTGACAGGCAGCTACTTGCAGTTGAATATGGCATGGTCTGCGTTCGCCATTCTGCTGTTGAGTATCAATCCGGCGATCGGCTTCAAGCTCGCTCCGCTGTTCAGCTCCCTCTCGGGCTTCGTTGGAGGATTTCTAATTCCACTGCCCAAGATGGCAAGATGGTGAGCGCCCGCTGAAATTGCCTATCCTTTATGGTGGCCATAGGGAAAGTCCCTGGTTAGAGTCCTGGTGGTGAACGACAAATTTTTCTTCAGACATTTCCCATTGTCAACTCCCTCAAACTCATGAAGACTGTATGTTTGGCGAAGGAAATATTTAATCGAAAACATGGAAAAGAGTGGGGCACAAGTTATAGAGTCAACTATTATTTTGAACAATCAGTTTGAACAGTGTGAACATTTTGGTTGAACCATCTTTTGTTGATCTGGAAATCCAATGCTTGGGCAATGGTGAAGCGAGATAACAGATAATTTATGTTCTATTTTCCACACAGGATGGAGAATGGCAACGAGGCTTTGTTGCAACTCTTGTTTCAGTGCAAAGGATCCATTCTCATGAATAGCATTCTTTCTCTTCTCTGCTTGCGTCCGTTCACAGGTACAGGTGGTTGATCTATGTGAATCCAAACTACTTTGCCTACTCGGCAATCATGTACCATTACCTGAGACACTTCAAGGACAATTGCAAGTTTGAATCTCGTCTCGAGTGCTACACGTCCAGCGGCCTCTACTACCTGCAGAGGTTCGGCTTCGATGACACTGGACCTGCGATCAATTCACTGGTGAGCCGTTTGTTGCATGCACTATGCTGTTTCCTCTTTACTGTTTAGCTAACTGTACAAAGGTAAACATGGGTGCAGCGAACGAGATTTTCGTTCTTGGGCCATTTTGCTGGTGGGTGTGATCTACTCATCTTCCACTGCTTTAGGAGCTGCATCTGCACATTGATCTCCGAGGGTGGTGGCGCTCCTACGGATGCGAACAAAAATCGGTCCGACCGGGTCTCTAAGTGAACCGTGAACTTTTAGATGTGCACTACTGACGCAGTGGACGATCTCCTCTGCTGGAATTAGTACTCGATATCCAGGGACTAAGCTCCCTGCACTCTTATGATACTGTGCCGGTGATGTGAGTCTGTGGGTACTTACATGTGTATCAGACAAGTACATGTCTGCATGTCTAGGGCTGAAACGAAACCATAGCGAAAAGAATTTTGTTTCGAAGATTTCTTATTCAGAGAATATTCAGAGTTTTGGATGCAACTCTGATCTTTAAGAAAGCAATATGATTGCCTGCTTATAATCCATTCCAAGGTCTGGAGGCATCCAGTGGATTCATTTTCCTCGGTTTGTAGTGTGCTGTGAATGTCAGGCAAGCAGGATTGCCTCCGTGCTGTGCCGTCTTCTTGTTTGAAGGTTCTGTACATCATGGCAGTAGTGTATTTACTATTGGCCTGGATCACTCTGGAAATCCGCTACAACCATCTGCGGCGGAAGTTCACGCACAAGTTGCGCAACATAATTCGGTAAGGAACGAGTTGATGAAAATGGATGTTCTAAGCATATCCTAGCCATATTTCCATATAGTTACAGTGCAACCGATCCTGGGAGATACGGAACGCGTTCAAGAACAGTAGACTGCACCCCCTACAGTTAAGAATGCGAGCATTGCGAAGCTTCATACTTTTCAGCAAAGGAAAGCAAGCAGGGAAAATGGCAGGAAATACCTTCTCTTAGGATCTTGCAAACCTCTATTTTTTTGCAACTTTTCAGTACAACAGGAAATAGTGATGTCATTCGCAAGCAAGAGCATTCTCGCTCCACATATACTGGCACACACAGAGGCATAGACAGCAATAGCGACACTACACAAAGTGAAGGGTAGTTGGCCGCAGCCAGATGTGAACCGGATAACGAGTGAGGTATGGAAGCAAGGACTATGAACAGAGTGTCTCGGATAGAATAGGCGTGCCAGCGAATAGCAGAAATCGGCCATGATGCAGAACCACTTGGGACCGTCAGATTAATTTTTCTGGACCGAGCCAGCCGGGGAAAAACCCTCGCGCCGACGGTAGTTGTGAGGGAAAAAACCGGGTGTACATCCCCAATGGCGATTAGGCATCATGTAGGCATGGCAAGCGCATCACGGCTGTCAAGAAGCGGCAACTTATAAAGATGGCGTCGGTTCGAGATGGCATGGTAACCGCGCACGTGCCGTGGTCCGTGACTTGCTCATGTACATATATGTATGCACGCAAATGCAAGTCACAAACTCACAAAGATCGTCTTTGCATTTGGAGAAAATATCTTCGACTCTCTTTGAAGGTTGGCGAGGTTTGCCTAATCTTTACTTGATTGCGATGCCGGTATGTCCTCTCAATAATTAGAACAAAGAGAGCTGATGATCGCTTCATTGCTGAGCAGAAGTAACAATCAATTCGTCTCCTCATGTCCTCAGTGTCAAAGGCAGACGACTGCAATTCCACAACGCTCATTTCACGATGATGGAAACAATAATCGTGTACTAGTACACACTTGGACCATCTGGTCATCCCTATTCTAGCCGCTAGTCCGTCCAGCAAGCAACTATTGACTATTACGATAAGGACAACTGCGTGAACGAGGGCTCGCCCAGCAAATACAATTCAAGTCGTGACTCCAGTCAAGAATTAGGGACTCGAGAACTTCACAAATACAGGCCAAGGCACCCCACAAAACTGATAGATGGCACGAACAAAAGACAAATAGGCTAGACAAAGTGTCCCAAGTGATTGAAAACAGCAGATCTACCAAATAAGACAGCTACATGTGCCTAAACAACGATTCCCATACAGTAGAGAGTAATATCAGGCAGAATGAAAGCCTTGGAAGTGCACAAATACAGCCACGACCGCTACAAAAATTGGACGACCGCCACAAAAAAATTCTCATTGCACTACCTCCTTGAAGGGTGAAAGTTACCAGTTATCCTATAGCGCTGTCAGTTTATGCCTGTTGGAACCCCCCCCCCCCCACAGCCCACACGAAATACCTTTCAAACAATTCCAGGATGCAATTGCAGCTCCAGACAGGAGGAAGAAGAACACCGTGAAAAATAACGGCAACGATGCCCAAACTCTTGGGAGACGGCTGAAGTCTTCCTCAAGATGTTAACATTGAATAGCCATCGACTACCAGCGTGGTTTGGTGACTTTAGAACTGTTTCGAGACTTAGAACGAAGCGATATCTCAAATTTGATGGAATTGTTACCTGTCAAATGCGTGGGCGAGCAGGCCAGCTGACTGGTTATGCATGAGCATGCATTGATTTTTCATGGTTCACGTGCAGAAAACTAAGTTGCCGCGATCCAAGTGCAGCTAACAGCCGTGGCATCACGGCAAAAAGCGATAAAAACGCAATGATAATATGCACAGAAATGAAGGGTGGGAGGGTAGGGACACTGGTGAGACTCAAACTGACTGAAGAAGTCAGGAAAAGAAGCGGCAATAAAGAACTCACCAGATGCCATATTTGCAACTGAAAATAGTTCGCGAGAAATACGTCTTGATGATTATGTCAACACTAAACAATAGTTTCAACCATATTAGCCCCGAAGACAAACATTTTGCATGCAATAGCTCATATCAACATTATCCCTGTGGTAAATTTTGCTCATATTATCTCACTGTGTCTGAGGTATACCTTGAAAGCAAATTTTCATTCCTGTGTTGCAACATAGTCCCCGGTATCGTTTCCAGTCCAGTCTTATGATGATTTATCGGTGCGATTAAGATGTTGATGTTGGCTTGTGCATGCGTTCCTGTGTGTGTGTGTGTGTCTGTCTGTGTGTGTCTGTGTCTGTGTGTGTGTGTATGTGTGTGTGTACGTGTGTGTGTATTTGTATGTATGCGCATGGCCGTACATGTGCATTTCGTTTCCGTCCTTGTTCATTGCTTCATATTTTTTGCTGAATGTGCAGTGGCAGAAAGCACTGGGATGGTGGGGATGATTTGCCGCGTCTGAAGGAGGAGGAGAGAAAGCCCTTTGTCAACTTTCAGGAGTACTTAGCTGGCGAGGGGATACGTGAGCTTGAGGAGATCTGCAAGCGCAACGGACGGGAGTGGACGACTGCTAAGCGCAAATCATTCAGCATCATCATCGAGGACGATAGAAAGTCCGCAAAGCACCAGATGCTTTCCGTGGACGTCAGCCATGGCGGTCAGTCGACACTGCGCACAGAGACCAGCACAATGGTGACGCCTATCTGCGCCAAGTGGCGCTTTGCCGCCAAGCTGGCAGCAAGTCGAGAGAACGTCAAGATGCTGGGCAGCTTCCAGGACGGCGGAACATTCACCGAGAGGGCCATGCGGCACGCGCACATACCCTTTGAGAAGCCCAAGCCAGGTGCCACCAAACTCCTGGACCTGGTCATGGATGCCTACAAAACTCAACAGCCGGCCGAAGCACGCACTGCTGCCGATCGCCGGGCGGAGATGGCGAATCGGAAAGCATACCTCAAGCAGATCATGCGGGCAAGGGTGCAAAAGAGCCGGAACAAGAAGGACTGAACCGCTTGTTGTGAGTATCCTGATAAATTCACCTAGACCTACGGACCTAAATTTATGCTATGGATAGTGACTGTACAACGATGTAATGCTGCAATGATTATCTGAAAGCATGGTGTGTAATGACCGCACCACAGTCCAGGCGTCGACGAGAAACCTGTATCCTTGAACGCTTCCCGAGTTTGATTTTGGTTCTCATTCTTGTGCAAATTATCAGTGTATTTCTTGTGAAAATTAGATAAGCAAAGTAACTATATTGATTGATTGTGAAGTTAGCCTTGATTCTAATTGTGAGCTCAGCTGTTTGAGTGAAGTAATACTAGCTTAGAGCTTGTTCCGTTATTCTGTGTTGAATACCTGTTGAATTGTGCATGGTGATCTCTATTATAAAACTATTAATATTTTCAACGAATTTTCTCTACCATGACTTATTCGCACCTTAGACATAGTAGTTGACTAGACCTTGAACTGAAACTCACTCAAATTTCCGCTATGATCGTACACGGTGTCGTTGATGTACTGACTATGGCACAAACCCTCAAATTTTCACTTTCACCAGACCTGGAATTCTACACATTCTCTTCATGCATGTGTGCATAATGTCAGGCTCCAGTCCCCTCTCTTGAAGACGAACCATACCATTCTGGTTCAGGTGGGTATGTGTATGGCTTGAAAGTGAGGACGTCAGAAGTCAAAAACAAACAAAAATAACGACTCGGATCCACTCTGCTCTAAACGAAGTAGTGGATGTGATGGGTTGACGACCCCTTGTGTCGCATGCAGGTGTAATGCTTCTCTATACCAGGAGTGGGTCACCGACCGGGAGGGCCTAGGTCCAGTCACAACTGCACTGGTGGATGTGTCGCTATGCTGTGAAGGGAAAATACCCAAACCTGCATGGCAAGATAATTTAGGAAAACGGGAAAATGGTTTACGGTGGAACCGTTTGCCTAAACGGGTGAATGGGTTACATTGGAACTGTATTATTATTATTATTATTATTACGCGCACACTCATGGCCAAGGCCAATCAAGGAGGAGGTGAGGGCGGTTAAAGCCAGCCATGGCAAAAGAAAGAAGAAGAAAAAAGAAGAAAGAAAAACAAGTGCAAATCAGAACAACAACAATAAAAGAAGAGATTGGGCTGCAAATCAAGTTGTACTATTAGGTTTGAACGTTTACGGGAAATGGTCCGAGAGATCACGAACAAAGGCAGAAATGTTTTCACATGATTGCTTTTTTTGGGGAAGCGAGTCCCAGAGACAATAGCTAATGAAAACAGGCGAGCGACTCATTGAGATATTTCTTGAAATAGGGAATCTTAGTTTATTACGACTTGACGAAGAGGAGTTAAACCAGTTAAGCGCATTTTGAATATGCATTGGCCATTGGGGCCTTCAGCAGTTTAATCTGATGGATAAATCTACAACAGAGTCTGTTAATTATGGTTTGTAAAGGACAGGTTTTGCATTGGGAATACAGAATTGTTAATGGGGTGTCAAGTGGGAAGCGAAATATCGCTCTCAAAATCCTGCGATGCATTAGTTCAAGCCGCGCAAGCATTCCTGCTCCAGCACTGCACCACACAATGCTACAGTATAAAATTATGGGTAAGATATAGGAGGCGTAGAAAGCCCGACGACAGACTAGTGGTAAATGGCTCATGTGGCTGTATAGAACACACACAGCCGAACTTGTCCGGCGCTCGAGATACTCCAGATGGTGGGACCCACTCATGCCTGAGTCAAAGATGACTCCAAGGTGTTTGTGGTGGCTAACAATTGGGATGGGCGTCCGGTCGTCAGGGAAGCAGAATAGGTACTGGTCGATGTGGGAAAGATCGGAACGCGGGTGAGGTGGAATGCACAATATGACAGTCTTTCCAGCATTAGGTCGAAGTTTCCAGAGACGCGTCCATTCAACCACTGAGCGAATTTCCGACTGCAAAAAATTACACGCCATGGGCAGGGAAAGTTCAGATGCCACAAGAGTAGTATCATCGGCGTACAGGGAGGTATTTGGAACGCGAGTTAAGTCATTTACATAGAGCAAGAAGAGAAGAGGACCACGTATTGAGCCCTGTGGCACACCGGAACAGACTTCGAGCGGTTGGGACAGCGAACCTGACACCCTGACCTGTTGGACCCGGCAGGATAGATAGCTTTCGAGCCACCGCAGAACATTGCCACCGATGTTAAAGGAGGCGACTTTGGCCAACAAACCACGGTGCCACACTGTATCAAAGGCCTTTGATAGGTCGAAGAAGCAAACTAGGCTGAAGTTGTGCCGATGTCTGCGTTCCAACAGGTTCTGAGTAAAGCGTGCAAGTTGCCACGCGGTAGAATCTCCTTTGCGGAATCCAGACTGGGCTGGAGATAGTAGAGGGTTTACATGGGCATACAACTGGTCGTACATGACGCGCTCACACAGTTTCGATATGGCAGGAAGGAGGGAAATAGGACGGTAATTTGTTGGATCGGATTTGCTGCCCTTATTTTTGTAAATGGGGACAACAACGGAGCGTTTCCAGACAGATGGAAAAACACCAGATGAGAAGAACAGATTAAAAATTAAACTCAATGGATCGCAGATTGACGGACCAAGGATCTTTAGTAGTTCGTTTGTGATACATGTACCATCCAGGCCAGCTGCCTTGCGCAGCTTGAGGCGTTTGATGTACTAAGCAACGCTGGTAGGAGTTGTTCTAATGTCTGTGAAGAAGGAGGTGCTATCAGCGTCAGCAATGGGCGGGATAGTCCACTCTGGATTGTTGGAGGTGCCAAATGCTACGAACTGCTTGTTGAAAACATTTGCAATGTCAGAAGGTGACGTAAACGTTTCATCCTGAACAGTTAGTTGCTTTGTGGGCTGTCGCTGGCTGGGTGGTGAACGTAATGATCGGATAAAGGTATGTGACGTTGGCCGTGATGTTGGCGTTGTGGCCTGTGAGTACAGTGTAAGGGAGTTTGCGTAAGCACGGTGCTCTGAGCGGGAGAGATTGCGGGTGCTGTTCCGTTCTGTCTTGTATCTGGCCTGATTTGCGGGTGTTGGGAATTTTTTGTACAGACTAAATGCATCACGCTTGCGTTTGATCTGAGCTCGCAGGGCTGGTGTCAGCCAGGGAAGTTGGGAAAGTTGTGGGCGATTGGATGGCTGTCGGATGCGGCGCATAGGAACGTACGACGATATTGTGTTCATCAGTATGGTTGAGTAAGTCCACTGAATGGGATGGGTTACCAAGAGGAATCTGGAGCTCGCTTAACCAATCGATAGTCGATAAGCACTGGCCAACGAGGGACCACTCTTCGCAGGCTCTGAGGGATGTATCGAATGAAGAAAAGTTGAACTGACTTGGTTCGTCAGGGATGGCAACACTTCGTGTGTCTCGCTGACCTTGTAATTGGAGTCTGGCGAGGACAAATGTTTTTTAGGCATATGCGGATAATGCCGGCAGGGTTCGGTACTTTTTCTGGTAAGTTTCATGCATGTTTGGTATGTGGATAAAGAAATAGAGCAGAATTCGAGGAATTGCCCGCCATAAGGTTTGTATGGTTCTGCCAATTTCACTGCTTTTCGAGCAGAATCTGTCAATGCCTAAACTGTTTACCCCTGCCCGCCCCCTTGCTATAATTATTTATTTAAATTATTTACATGGCTAGAACCGCGTGCAGGGCTACACAGTGTACAATGCTGTTTTTGTTTTGTTTTTTGGTTTCCCGTTCTCTGGGCCTTCTATTCGGTACTCTTTGTAGTTGTACTTCTGTACTGTTGAGCTATCCGAATTCAAATTAACACTAAAAAAATGCGGACTTTCATCTACTGTCCATGGCGCCGGGGAGTGGGTACTCACACCGACATGCCGATGACTGCCCACATGTGTAAGGCCCCGGTCACACCGAAACAAGTCACTTTGGCCCTTTGTTTGGGCTTGTTATCGCTGGCGCTCAGCTGGCTTGCGTGATCCCTGTGACGCGGTCACACCAGACCTTGAGTGCAAAGCTTGAATGGCTTGTTTTTCTTACCCGCCAAATTTTGAATATCTCGAAACACACCAATGTTTGCAAGAAACTGGAGAGCAGAACGTTCGCGATCTAAAGCTGTACTTGTTCTAGTGTTCAGTTTTGATGAAGAAGCAAAGGAAGCCCGGATTCTGAATTGCGAAGTCGTGCTCTTTTTATTTGTTCGGTGTGCATGGACGCGATGGTTCGGGTGGTGTTTCCTGATGTCGAGCTTTCTGCCCCGCCGGTTGCCATTATTGAACTCAGTTGGAATCCACTCTCTTCTTCGTACCCGGCTTTCTTCATGAATTCGGTCGTGAGTGTGGTGCCTTGTCTTGGCCTCAAACCACAGCTCCAACAATCTACGCAGCAGTCTAGAGGCACAGCGGCAGAAATCCATGGTCGTCGGACAAAATCCAAATCAAACTGAATACAGTGTAGTTGGGGTAGACAGACTCACGGTCAAAACCAAAGGCACAGGGATAGCACGGTTCCACGGACACAAGAAAGAACATCAATACGGGGGATTAGCCAGACGAAATTCGCGTTCGCGTTCGCTCTCCAAGGAAAGTCGAACTCAGTGACGGAATTCGCGTTATGAGAAGGATTAGCGAACAGAATTCGCACATGCATGACGTTGACACGACATACATTGTGTACAGACAGTACAGCGTAGTAAATTTATGACTGCCCTGACACGAATCCGCGATTCGTGTTCCGACTACCGTACTGGCAATATATGTTGCCGCAGTGAGGCCATGAAGCGTTACATTGGCACATGTTTGCCGCACGCAGGGCGTTACATGCAAAGTCGCACAGGAGCCGTTACACAGGTTTCTATATTGCCGCAGTCCTTTTTTGCTATTGCAGGACTTCCTGCTGCGTCCAGTTTTGAACTTTTCACCACGCGGTACACGTGCTTTCACAGTTTTCAGCCTTTTTTGCAATGAAAAGATCGCCGCACCCCGCCGGACGCGCGTTACGAACGCAACGAAAATTTGTCGCACTAGCCTGGTCGCGCGTTACGCCGCACCCCCCTGCGTTACGCGTTACGCGGCAACATATATTGCCAGTACGGTACTTTTCCGAACGAAAAATGCGAAAGTTCGCAATCCTGACAAATGTTTGCGAACGCGAACGCGAATTTCGTCTTGCTAGCGCTAATCCTCCGTATTATCAGTTCATCATGTCAACTAGCTACATGGTGTGCTCCGGAGCTCCAAGCGCACTCAAATTATTTTTTGAATTCCGGTTTTCAGCCGCTTGTACAAGCTGTGGCTGAAACAAGCCGGAAAAAACGGCTGAGAGTCAGCCACGGCTGAAAGTCGCTTGTAGGACATTTTTCAGCCATTTCCATGGTAATAGTCACGTAAACAAGCGCTTGTTTCGGCTGAACGGCTGAATCGAGCTCGGTGTGACCGCGGCCTAAGCCATGCTCCATGTCCCTCGGGGGAGAATGATCCGATTCTAAGCAACGAGCAAACACAACTTACTCATTGGATGGCATGTTACTATTACACCGAGCAACAAGAGCAATCAAGGTTTGCTAATCGCTGCTTAAAGTGTCATGCTTTCGCAATCATTGGGCAACATGTTACAACTGAAGTACTCAGTATTATAACTATTAGTACGCCAATGTTATCAATATGTCCAGCGCTTGATAATAATAACGAAGTGAGAACTTCGGGAATATTCCATATTCCTCCCAGTCGTGCGCCCACGTCCATCTGAGGATGACTCATACACTGCAACAACTTGTATAATGTACAGTTGAAACAAAATTCCCAACGATCGAAGACAGGGAAACGGTAAGCATGGTGACTCTATAGTTACCCACACCTTTTTGATTGTTTGTTTCTCTATTTCCACCGCTATAGCGATTGTGCTCGTACAGAGTATTCATTGATCGATTATGACGCAGTCATGATTAAGAAACTTTTAAACATTTAGACCATTCATATTCAGGTTCGACAGGCATGTACGGGTGCATGTAGAGTGCAGTACATCATGTACATGTACATGTATGTACCAGGAATGTTAGCTGTTCTACATGCAGAGTATCGGCGGCACAGTGAGTGAACGCAGAAGGTCGAATCGATGCTCTCACACCAAATCAGCTCCGTTTGTAGTGGCGCAAAATGAGTAACCGAGAAACCTGCCACAAATTCAGTGTAAGTGTGGCTCTTGTGTTCACGCCAGGCAGTCGGAGATTACATGTACATGTATGCATCACGAACATAACAATCATTGCTATCATTTGGTCCTAGGTACAAGTAGTAGCAAGAGTATATAAGGGGGGGGGGGGGGATATATTATACTCTTGGTAGTAGGGTACACATGGCACACACATGGCTAGGAATAATTGCACATAACAACAAGCCCTGAACATGTTATGGAAATGACTGTATCCCGAACAATCACAAACTCACAAGGTTCATGTACGACGTGCGCTGCAAAAAAGATCAGAAGTTCTCGAAGGTATTGCAAACGTTATCCCGAGCTGATAGGCCATTCCCATGCGTGGGCTTGGCGAGACGCATGAATGGCTACTTCCCGGTAGAACTAAAAATCCCGAAGAATCGTTTTCCGAATTTATTGATAATATAATGTGCAAGGACATGACCGTATGACTGTTAGGGTTAGATGTACTCGCAGATAACGCATCCATGGCGACGGCACGATTCCCGTGGAGCGCAAGCGGAAAAAAGGTGTCTGTTTGCGCAAAGAACCAATGGAGTTGCCATGATCCGTGTAGTGATGAGTGAAGGGTATGAATTAACAGTGACGGCTGCGTGATCGGCTGAAGGTTCACTGATATCATGGATCATGGCGACATGGATATGCTAGCGCAGCAGGGACGACGAGCAATGCTGTAGCACGGTACAAAACGCCCCGGATGACATAGAGTGCGCATCATGTCGAATACTTACGGCTGTCCGAGGAATACAATGTCGATCCCACCTCCATTGGATGATTTCCATGTGACGAGAGGCTGCGTTTGAACTGAGGTAGTCACTGCGCACTGTCTCCTCGCGGGCGCACAGCTATCCATTCATTCATCCCGTTACGAACCAGGAAGCTTGTTGAATCCGCCTGTCAACGTGTGCAGAATACATAACACATGTCAACGTCAACATGCTCAAGGCAAGGTTCACGTGACAGCAAAATTTCCCTCGCATTTTACTATTACGCTGGCAGGATCAAGTCCCACGACGTACATGTCGTGTCTAAGATGCAAGTCGAAGACGCTCATATAAAGGAGCACGCAGCTACAAATTCCATTTGCACCCGTCTCGCCAGCTACCGCCAAGTCCAGTCCTGGGTCCTGCAAGTGAATTCCGGCATTGTACTATTTCGCAGAGAACTATCCCAAGGAGACAATAATTAATTATTGTTTGCCAATCTCGGCATGGCATCTACCGTCGGCGTGTCCCCAATGCAGAAATGCGAAGACAAAACCCGTCAAGGTAAGCTAGCTACAACGACTTTACGAGGATCACAATGTTCTGTTGTTGGTTGTTAGCAAAGGAAGCCTGTTGGCAGATGGGCGACATTAGCAGAATTCTGGAGTTACATGATACGGAAAGTCTCAGGGACGCTCGGAATTTCGCTTGCATATTCTGGCGATATCGTTATGACTAGATACTAAGAGGCATATCTTCTGGATGCGGGTCCATACAACACTTCTCTTTATGGTATGATATGGTACTTTATTTTACTTCATCAAATGAACAGGCACCGATATCTTCCCACGGGACTATTAGTCTAGTTCCTATAAGAGATCATGGTTGCACAGGCCAAGCCAAGCATCAGTCCTGGCTCATGGCCGTAGTCTAACAACCACATGTCTATATTATTACTTAACCACATCGGCAAGCCTCTGAACAACAGCTCCACTGAGGCCAGAAAGCAGTAGCAGCACACACATATGCTGACATTCTCTTGGGAGGACATGATTGTGTGTACCAAGGGGGAGACATACATGATTTTCGGTGTTAGAACAGAACGGACGTGTCATGTTTCTGCATCGTTGTTGCCAGGGAGCGGACAGACGTTCCCGTTCGATAGTGTATACATGCGTGAGTAAATGTATGTATGTACACGTGCGTGTGTGCTTGTGTATGCGTGTGAGGGCGCGCGCGCGTGCGTGTGTACATGTACATGTGCAAGAGAATGAGGAAGAGAGAGACTGAACGGAATCGTCATTGCCAATTCAAAATTGTAGTCTCAAAGACAGTAGACATAATTATCGGTACAAAAACTTACCCCTCTGTGTAATCTACGGCCGAACACGTACCTGTCTGCAACGCACACGGTTTGTCTTGGAACCGAAGTATCGCCATGGAACACTGATCAAAGAATGTGAGGCGACTGAAAATGCGGACATTGGTATGAGCAACACTGCCTGAACGCCAGTAAAATCATGCACAAGAAACTCGTCAGTGTGGACTCAAGCAGACTGCCAAATTCAAACTCGTCGGATGATTGTATCAATGTGGAGAGGAGGTCGGTGGTCGAGCAAAACCTATTCCGCTCCGGTCAGTTGACGTACATGTACATGTAGTACTGTGGGACGAACACGACAAGATTCAATTAGAGGACTGCCCCAGCGGTGTGTAGGACACACAGACAGACGTACAATTAGGTAATGGAATTCTGCCCAACGCTGGATGACCACGTACTGTTACCAGAGTCGCCTGGGGGATTGCCACCTTGGATGAAACTACTGCTAGTTACAATTAACGATTATCCAGACGCGTGGCACCGACTAAGAGTGACTCGGGTGATATACTAATCTTGTAGCTCTGCTCCTGGGAGCAATGGGCACTCTATCGGACCGCAGGACTCCAGTCTCCACTCTCTGCGTAGACTAGTCTACTGCGCAAATCACTACTGACTGTACAGACTACTAGTACAGAGCGCTACAGGATAGATAGATATCCCTGGGGTCAAGATGGCCCTGAAAAGCCGAATGTGTTCGAATACTAACATGACCCGCTCAGCACAGTCACAAGAAGCTGCTGAGGGCAAGACTAGTGTTTCAAAGGCGCTGGTCGTCCGTGTAGGCTAGCCTTGAGACGTGGGAAAGGGTGAGACGAAGTGCTAAGGAACTGCCTGTTACGAGAACCATCCATGGTCAAGTGCCAGGTCTCGCAAGGGATTTTGATTCACACGGTTCGCTACCATTCTACAACACTTGCAGCTTATAACATAAGTTTAAGGTCGTCCCTGCCTCTACATCAGCACGGGTAGGCTGTGGGGAACGCATGCATTCATACAGTGCTGCTCCATGAAATCCGATCTTGGGAATCGAATGTGTGCCTTTCACAAGTTCACACCGCAGTGTTACTGTAGCTGGTCTAGTAAAGCTGAATGGTGCCCGGCTTGCCATTCACTTGCTGGTCCGGACTTCATTGTGCAGCACTAACACTGTAGGTGAAATGGGCAAGTGATGGCCGTTCAGCGCCAGGCCTTCTGCGACATTATCAACCACTTCAATCATGAGGAATGTCAGACGGGTGCGAGTCTGCGAGATAGCGCGCGACCCAGTGGCCAACAGGCAACACCACGTAACTCATCTGTCCGGCAGATCCAGTGAAGGACGGACCGACAACGTAAAGGCCACAGATAGTACCTATTTCGCACAGATGTGCCTGAAGATCTGGACGTGAAAGAAGTGTTAGAAATTCGTAATTACACTGTATAATTATGAACTAGAAGAAAATCACGTGGAAGCTGCTAAAGCTATCTCTCTGAGAGAGACACGCAATTCAATCATAGCAATTTGATAAATTGCGTGTTGTATTGTGCTTCCAATTGCTCTAGTCATGGCTGTGGTCAGTGTAGCTCGACAGAAGCCCAATCGGGGCCAGATAATTGCGACCAGGAACCCTCTTCTCGACCTGGATCACGATCATGACGAGCTGGAAGAAATCGTCATTTGTGGCAATCCAGCGGCAGTGCCCTGCCCAGCCAGCTCCAGACTCGACTCAATGCACTCCAGTGGCGGGCTTCCGCCAGGAGTAAGACAGTGTTGGGTGGCGTGCGAGACGGATTTCCCAGCAACGAAGTGGAGCATGCATGGCAAGCAACATATACCCATGTTCTGTGAGTAATACGTGATAGTGCGGTTGCTCATTTTGAGCTTTGACTTCGGTTTCGTAATAACTGAGAAAGGCAAAGCTGCATTGTACGTTCAATCCTACATATACCGTGTACATGTAAATGTATACGTTTTAAATGTTCGTTAAAACGAACATTTTAAAACGTATTTCCGCCGTCAGTGATGGTGCTCCTTCTGCAGCACACGCATGCAGTGCAGAGTTCAACTATAAAAAACGAGAATGTACATGTAACCCCTAATTCATATTTGCTTTCAGCCACTCCCAGTGCTGCCAAACTGTCCGATTTTTCGGACAGAGTCCGATTTTTGAAGGCTCTTCCGAAAACCGGTCCGAAAAAGGAAACGTCCGAAAAGCAGCCAAAAATGCCAGAGATCAGTACTCAGGTACTTTCCTATGCAGAAGTCCTGTATTTTCACCTTTCACTTCAGCACAAAAATCATGTTCATGTACATGTCACATGTGCTTCTAAAAAGGCTTGCGCTTGGCGAAGTAAGTAAGTTGGCGGTGGAAGTGCAAGTAACATGCCTGGATGGCATGTACACTGTACAGCGTGTGACCACACTCATGCATTACAAAATTCATGACAACTTCGGGGAGCAATTTCGGTTACCATGGCAACGAAGCGAATTTTCATGGTATTTTGGGCGATATTTTGAATTCTCTGGAAAAATTTGCTGAGGAGAAAATTCGCACCATGTGGCCAGCCTTAACGGTGAAAGGTGTCCGATTTTGGGCGAAAATCATTTGGCAGCACTGCATTCCCCATGAAAACCATTCCAATTAATTATTTTATCCCTTTAATGGCAAGTATGTACATGATTGTGTTTACACCCCAGCTCAAGGGACCTTCAAAACGTGGTAGGCCTTGACGGATTATGCTAGCATAATTTTTCGCATAATTCCTACCAAAATCGAATAATCGCATAATTCGAGGCAAATTGCATACGAATCGCATAAATTGGAATAATCCGCCTGTTCGCATCAAATTCCATACAGTTGTACATGTTCTACAAGTACAAGTACAAGTAGATGTGTAACGGTAGCCGAGTGGTAGGCGCGGTGCAATTAACAATAATTACTTTTATTCTACTTTCAGGTACACACCTGAGATATAATCGTTAATGAAAGAAGGAACGGCAAAATAACTGACTTTCTCTCCGGTGCTCACCTGGAGGTTGAATAGCTCGTTATTATCAAAATCTCATCTTCGAGTTAGCTTTCGTTGCTTCTAATCTAATCTAATCTTCATCAAAACAGAAATGCGCAGCCGCTTTTATGCAGCAGACGACGTACGCTTACATACGGAGATACACTAAATATACATCAGGCAAGCTCCGTATTAGTTCCGTACTGCTTCCGTATTGGTCGGGCAGGGATACTACACCCTCCCTTCCTACAGATTATCACGCCCTCGTGATTTTCAAAAAATTAGTGAGGAGTTACGAACACAGCGTCAACCGGAAGATGGCAAATTATATCGGAAATGATAACGTTTAGAGTAGACAGAAGAAATGAACTGATAACAAATCATAAAGTAGAAGCACACCAGGTTCACACGATCTCACGGGGTTAAAAGGGGAAAGAAATGTCCTCCAAATAGGACCTGAAAAACTACAGCACTCTTGCTGCACAACGCTGGCACAACCCGCCAGGAACATCGCAGTTCAAAAACCGAACTGAATACACTATAACTATAAGGGGCGTTGTCACACACATTGTCCCACGTTAGCTGGGTAAGCCGTGGCTCACCATGATCAGACGCCTACCAAACTAAACTGGATTCACACACTCGCATAAAGGAAGACTGAAGAGAACAGGGAGACTGAAGGAAGACAGGAAAGAAAATGCCATACCTGGAATCAGCGTTAGTAACCACGGCGGTGGCTGGAGCTATGGCGGAGGGCAAGCCAGGTTTTATCTTCATCTTGGCTGAGCCGGTCACTCAGAGCGGCTAGCTCGTGGTCGGACAAATGACCTCCCTCCTCGTCTTGAATCATGGTCTTCACATTGTCGATAGCATCGCTTTGCGCGACGTAAAGAGTGATGGTCTAGCCAGGAAGAGTGATGACGAAAATCTGCATCCCACTACGGACACGAAGTACCAAGTGAATAGTGGACTCCTGCTGAACGTTGTAGTCACTCAGGGTTCGGCCGTCTGCCAACTGCGTGCGGGCGAAAATCAAACGCTGCCTGTCTTGGGGAATACCCGCCTTGTCTTGGTCAGCAGCCTGCATGTCGTCGTCCTCATCAGCTTCGCCATCACCACCGGTAGTATACATGTAGGTAGCGGGTCGCTTGGAATCGCCATCGGAGTCTCCAGTGAGTGCCGTGCGGAGAGAAGGGTGATCCACGCTAGCACCCTGACTGTGCTGCAAGCTAATAAGTAGGGCCAAGCCCAGGACGGCAAGAAACATGATTCTCATCTTGATTCGTCGCAGGGAGCTGTAGCGGGTTGAGCCATGGGGTCTGGGGTCGAATCACTTTGTTTTATTTAAAACTACACCGCTGCCACCAATGTAACGGTAGCCGAGTGGTAGGCGCGGTGCAATTAACAATAATTACTTTTATTCTACTTTCAGGTACACACCTGAGATATAATCGTTAATGAAAGAAGGAACGGCAAAATAACTGACTTTCTCTCCGGTGCTCACCTGGAGGTTGAATAGCTCGTTATTATCAAAATCTCATCTTCAACAAAACAGAAATGCGCAGCCGCTTTTATGCAGCAGACGACGTACGCTTACATACGGAGATACACTAAATATACATCAGGCAAGCTCCGTATTAGTTCCGTACTGCTTCCGTATTGGTCGGGCAGGGATACTACAGATGCACCAGGAAGTCGTAGGTTTACGACTCCCTTGATAACATGTCCAGTCCACTACAATCAGTGACGGTCGTAGCTACAATTGTAGGTCGGACGGCACGTTGACCCCGTTGAACTTTTGCTACTACAGTACAACGCCCTATACAAAAAAATTCCCCTGTTATTTTGCACAGAAGCATCATATACATTAGCAGCATATGTGAGCATAATGCGGCATAATATGATAACTTTTAGCATAAAAATAGCATAATTCTGCCATTTTTTCAGCAATGCGAAAAGCATAATTTCACGAAAATATTAGCATAATCCGTCAAGGCCTAAAACGTGGTCTCTATTGCCAGGTGGTCTCCTTATCCAGGGTCCATTGACTGGAAATAGCATCCCTTGGTCCTGGTTACAGTGGTCTTCTGGGGCAGGTGGGTCACCTTATCCGAGTGGTCGCCTTCACAGTTTTTACTGTAGTTCTTCCAAAGCTAGCATGCTGGCATCCTCCCAGTTTTTTTTTGTTTTTTTGGGGGGGGGGGCAAGTTTCTCCTGTATGGCTTGTCTTGTTCACATGACTTTCCTGTGACGTGTCATTCTCTGTTTTATTACTTTGCGATCCACAGATAACCATTTAGCTCATCACAAAATACCGACACCCAGCCAGACACATGCTGGAAAACCCATCCGTCCAGTTACTACGCACATGCGGAGACCAGGGATTAGGTCACCACAAGAAGTCGTCGTGGACAAGTGGAGGACTTTCAAAGGTAATAATTACAGCTGCTCTGGTGAAATATACATACGGTTGACTCCTGATATAACGAACACCGCTGTGCAGGAGAATAATTCGTTCCTTATAACCGAAAAAAGCAATTCCACCTCCGCCAAACGCGCTCTCTGGCCGAACTCACCGCCGAGGTGGAATTACTTATAGCCGAAATTTGTAATAACAGAAATAGACTTGCACTGTCGGTTCAAACTAGGACATGGACAACGGTTCGCAATAATTACCGCGCAATTCGCTGTTATGCGAGTTCGTTATAAGTGGAGTCGACTGTAAGTATACATACGTACATAGGAGATGTGGTCCCGTCCACCGCAAGGAGTGCTCGGCAGTGCTGGGATGCACTGGAGCTAGTACATGTACATGACATGGACGCGATTGGGTCCTCACCAAGGAAATAGATCCGCTTCTACTCAGACTTTCTTGGATCAATCAATCATCAGGCAGCATAACAGAACGCAGAACTCTGAGTAGCAACGGAAATGCTTCCTTGGTGATGACCCAACCGCTTCCATTGTGCATAAATATTAAATGTACATGTACATATAAAATTGGATCCGCGGTTTGGGCAAGCTCCACAAACAACAAACGACACTGATTCCATGTGTTGTGAAGGTATAGAAGAAGGTCAGCGGCAGTGTATTCTGCTTACTTCGAAGTACATTACACCACCCCCAACGGTTGCGCTCTGTGGCCGAACACACTGTAGCACTGTCTTTCATCATTATATTCAAGCTGGATAAACAACAAATCTCTTATTGGCGATGTTTCCATTGTGAGAATAAAGAATTCAACAACAACAACAACAACAACAGCAACAAAACACACGCGTGCACACACACATTTCCGACAACAAAAATCAAGGTGTCTTACTAGTTCATCCTGATGCTGGCTATGTATGTGTGTGTCTCCCTGTGGCAGATCGTTGTGCCTGCTTTGCAGCGCTGTTTATCCTCGCCGTGGCACTGGCCGGCATCATCCTCCTGCTTCTCGGCATCGCCGGTGTACACAAGTGGATGACGGGCATGGGGCTGGCAATGGCGCTCGCCTCGCCGTTCATATTCATCATCGCCTACGGCGTCTGGCATCAATACAGCGTGAAGCGGCTCGGACGCCAGCTGACCATGGTCCGCGCCGTGCCGAGGGCACCGGCGAACGGAGTCCTACGCGTGTAGGGCCTTTATTAATAGAACAATTTACTCCTCTCCACTTAGATCCACACAAAGTAACAAGAAAGAGAAGCAGATTTGTCCACTGACAACTGCTCAGTTCAGTTGCTTTTCTGCCTTTAATGCAGTTCCGTGATGTCCATACGATTCTCAGTGGACAAATGAACAAGGATGTTATTTATCACCTCACAGTAACATTCATCTAGCCGGCAGTCGTGTGCCAAAATCATGATAACGACTCAATCAGTGAAGCCAGTATGCCGTGGCAATATCTCCTAGTAAATAGGTGTTGGTTCGCTGCAAGAGCTTTCATAGTAAATTTACTAGAACACACTAGAATCAGATCTCATCGAATTGTATCAGTTTGTCAAGTATGGCCACAGCCAATGCTCTGAATAATCACACATTCATGGTTATTATGCATAATTTAATTTTCATATACAATACACCACTAGTATGGTTTGGTGATAGTCTGCAACTCGTGTGTTGCAAATTCAACATCATCAAGAATATCACATCGGATATCAATGCATTCAGTACACGCTACTGTGCGCGAGTCGCGGGCAAGCAAACTAATATCGCAGTGTTCGTAGGACACTGACTCTATACCGTGACTGGGGAAATTACAGTTTGCTCTTGCTGGGAAACAATCTAAGGTTGATAGTACGTACTCAAGTAGCGTGTCCCACTGCTCAAAGAGCGCTCAGCAGCCATATACGGCAGAGCCTTCCACACAAGTGAGAGAGAGAGGAAGCCGTATTGTAAGTCTCTTGGGTAAGGACGAACTACTACATCCGATAGTCCTTTGTAAGTGTTGCCCCAGCACAACTGGGCTAGAGAGGTGTGCTGTGTTGGAACCACATTGGCAGCATACTACACTACTAGTAGTGCATATCCTTCTCTATAAGAGTCATGGTGGGCCCGCGTGGCAGAAACCCCGAAAGCAGCCAGTGGACCAAGATGAGGGCAAACGGCACCAGGAACGGAGAGAAGATCGTCAGCAGAATACCTATCCATATATACGTAGGGCTGACGTAACCAGTCAGACCGAGAATTGCCATAATAACACCCATCAGGAGTGCAAGAAATATGAGTGCAACCACCAACTTGATCCTGGGGTCTGCTCCAAGCACCAATGGAAGAGAGAGAGAGAGACCAAGAGAGATGGATGGATAGATAGATAGAAACACACCCATACACACACACACACGCATGCGCGCGCGCACACACACACACAGAAACAGAAAGAGGAAATGCTGATGAGTTAGGCTGCTTAGTGTTTGCATGGCAATGCAGCTTTACCACAGTTGTGCTCGATGAAATCCGGCCTCACAATGCAGTCAGCGCCATGCACCAATGCACTGCTGAGTGCTCCCAAGTCTGAGACTACATGGCATCAAGAGTACACAACCCCAAGAGTGTGCAACTGCCTGCACAACCTCGATACAGTGCTGCGGCGGCAGTATTTCACATCACGTGACATGGTTCAAAAGGTTACGCTGGTAAACAGTGCAAAGTGACCGCAAGAGAGTTGAACCCAAAGCAGGGTTGAGTACAACCCTGCATCTATCATGCACAGGGTGCAAATAATGTGTACGGGTTTGTCACGTGATGTGAAGCTCTGCCGTCGCAGACCCCATAGCTGGAGTTGCGCACTCTTGGGGGTTACGTACAATTGATGGCATCCAGTGCTAATCGGCTTGCACAGTGAGATGCACATGAGCAGCACTTCACTACAGTACTGTCACCCGGCAACGGGCTAGAATTGCACCAAGCACAGCATACTACTGTATAGACGGTGACTCAACTGACTGCGATACATGAAAATAAAAACGGTCTAGTCTAGGAGGCTGACCCCCCAGTTCATCGGCGACCAACAGTATGGTACCTATTGTCCGTATTGGGGAGTTGAAACTTAGGCATGTTCTTGCACGAAACATGGCTCTTCAATAACCCTCAGCCAGTGTATCAGGCGTTCAAGGTGGGGTTCTCTGGCCTAGCGCCTATATTTCTTGCCTGCACCATACCACACGTCGATTTATCAGAATTTTCCTCAACTAGGGTTTCATCATGCATGAGTATAGTTAAAAGTTGGACACCACGATAAATTTAAACACGAACAATCCACAGTGCTTTACATTTTGTCCAGTTGTTAACTTAAAGAGAGGGCGAATGGGATGTCAAATAAAAACAAACAAACAACAAAAAAGAACACAATTTCTTACTGCCACCCCCCACCCCCCAGTTCCTCGTTGCCCGACTGTACTGTACTTACTCAGCCATCGTTCCAGTGAATTAGTATCAAAGGGACTTCTTGACTTGTGCTGCTGATGAGCTTCAGCTCGCCTACTGCTAGCCATGATCTCTATCGTTGGTCCCAGCGAGGCAGCTGCAGTTCTTCAGTCTGGATTCCGATGGTGCTAAGCAGAGTCGCACACAGAACCATACATACTGCACACAATGACTACAAACGCTACATGACATTACACAACTTAGTTACAGTACTGTAACATGCAGACGAAGGAGTGTTTGTGTGTGGGGGGGGGGGGGGGGGGGGCAACTCAGTAGAATTTTAAAAGGTGACAAACAATACAGGTGCTAACTGAAAGGCTACAAGACTAGCATACGATAACCTGTATGGTGCAATGTGTTACAATTGTCACACCACGCGTTACGCCGTACTGCAGCACATACACACTCTATACAGCTTTCAGATCACGCCACCTCGAAACCAGCGCTTTCGAAAGTGGCTCCGTATTTCCCCAGGGCATGATCCACGCTGGTGTGAAAATTGCATCCTGTTCCTCTTCCCCCTGCTTGGACACACATTTTTCGACAAGAGCGACTGGTGCTGCTTTGGTAGAAAGTTGTTTGTGCTGCAGGTATTGCTCATTAGGAGCAATAGTTGTCACCAAGTCCTGACCTCTGGATTTTTATACCAGTTTTGCACGAATGAAGTGGACCACACAGCTGAGGAAAGTGCTCCGGCCATTGCTGGTCCAGCCAGGCCAGTTATTTTTTTAAATTATTTAATTTTTTTAATAGAAGTGCACATTCCCACATAGAATAGAGATGACCAACAACAAAGAGCGTGTATGTGCAATAGCTGTGCAGGTGTGGTAAAGTGTGCCCTCTCAGAATAAAGGCGCCCATCACGCACCATGGGAGAGAGAAAAGACATTGCGCGCGCGCGCGTGTGTGTGCGTGTGTGTGTGAGAGAGAGAGAGAATGAGTGAGATAGAGAGAGCACATGCATTTCGTTTAGAAGCACCGAGCACGGAGTCCAGTTCTCGTGCACGCACACACACACACACACACACACACACACGCGCGCGTGCGCGCGCGCGAACACAGAGCGGTCTTCCTACACTACGCTCAGATCCTTGAAAGGGAACCATGGACTCCGAACAGTATGATAACAAAGTGAATCATGTTAAGGTGATATCACGAGAAGAATTCACTATAAAAATCAACGAATATAAAGTTTGCACATCCGCGTTACCACTGGCCAAACGATCTAGTTGAATGAACACTATAAATTGTCATTTTCCTTTAGTCACAGCACTCCACTGATGATTGTGACAAGAAAACGTTCTGGACACTTGATGTTATTCATCGTCAAATTGCGATTATTATCTCCTCACTGCCGATTTTAAACACTAGAATGATTTATTATTCAACCTTTTTTGTAACTCACAAGGCTGAGGGACTGAAACGGGAAACAGTCTGAAGAGACTGTTTCCCGTTACGTTCTCTTTTCAGTCACTCAGCAAGATGAATATTACGTTCTGACACTTAATTTTCCGTTGCTCACCTGTCCGTCCTTGCTACGTGGTCCAGTTCAGCAGGTGGAATTTCGTTCTCCAATGGCTGCAACTAGAACGATGCATGCTGCGCTTTTCTCTAATGGCCATTGCCTGCTCTATGTTTCTCTGTTACTATAATGTACTCTCGAGCTAGCTTGAAATTTCAAACATTTCTTTGCTACTCGACTCGCACTCTATGCCTTTGCAAGAAAGGTTTGAAATGCTTTTACGACAATAGTGATGTCATTGCAAGAGAGTCACGAATCACGATCACGTTCGCGCTATGACCATGATGACCTAGCCCCCCCTAGGAGTAGGAGCAGGGTTGCCAGCGCTAGCGCCTACTTGATCAAACCTGGCTCTGCTTTGCGGGGAAAGTCGAAGACGAACATGCACTTTTGTGCTGCTGCCGACCTGCCGTGCATTCTTCTCTGGCTTTCTTCAAGTTCAAGTACTTTTTTTTTCGAGTGCCTTTCTTCCACTTCCTAGGCTTTGGGGGAAGGGTGACATCCTGTGCTACAGACTACAGTCCACATGGTCCAAGGTCCAGGATAGCAAATTGGCCCGAGCAGAATGAACCCACGCGTAGAGATGAACACCAGCACAGAAAATAATTATTTGTATCAAGTTTTTCAATTACTATTTAGCGGGACGTGGTAGCGCACATTTCTCAATTTATCGTGTGGTGGGCGACAGAACAGTACTACTGAGCGTCACCTGAAGCTCACCTTCAATCACTCACACACCGGCCAGTCCATTTCAGCAGCATCACAAACCTACATCTCTAACCGTTGAACTAACTAAGTTACTAACTATGTACAGTCGTATCCGACTAAACCGAAAATACACTAAACTATTACTTGTAGAACAGCGTGCTCATCAGACATCATCGACTCGTAGAGATTACTACACAATCATGATGTACTGAATGATTATTGTTTGTTTCGCCTTTTTATTTTCCGGAAAAGAAGCAGTATTCGTGCATACATGTAGATTTTACATCGCGTCACGTGAGTTTAGTTCACTTTGACTCGAACGACGTCACCACCAGCAGCACTGCATTGATATCGATGATGCAGCCTGCGGCCTGCCCGGCGGATCGGGTATACTGTAGATCTACCCGGTAGTTCGTGGTGTGGCTGAGTCATCATGGTCACCATGGTCACTTGTCTTTCTTGTTCATTTTAATTATTTTACTGCGACTCAGTGCGAGTCCATGTAGTAATTAGTATTTTATTTACGGTGTTCAGTATGTAAACCGCGCCGACTCTGTATACTCAGTACAGGAGCGAGGGAGGACTTGTACCAGGGTAGGATAACCATGATACATGTTACAAAAATAATCACAATCCGAGGGAACACCGCCGCTACTGCGTTGAAAGGACTGTTTTCAACACAGTGTGCTCTCCGCCATGTGATATTCTGACATCCTCATCACACCAACTACATGACATGCAGCTACATGGCATTACAATTATAACACAATACTGGTTCAAAACCACTAATAGATAAGCCTTGTTATAGTTCCGGCATATTATTGTTAGATTGACAGCCTTGTTTCATGCTGTCAATCTAACAATATGTAGCTACATGTATTCTCACTTGACTGACTCACGACTGCCATCCAGAGCACACGAGAAGTCCATCGAACCGTCCACTCGGCAAACCTGCAAGAAAGCACCACTCCCTGCTCAATATACAGTGTTCCGGAGAATTCACCCCTCATGAGCATCAGATGAGCTTGAGTAGGCTGAGGAAGATTGTGCCTGAAGAGCACCACTTACATATACATGTATATACTGCTCTGAGTCAATTTTTTCTTCAGACTTTTCCCGTTTGTGTCTTTCCCTCAAACTAGTCAAGATATACTGCTCTCCAGGCACAAACATCACCAGGGATGCAAACTTACAGAGACGCTCAGTTTCCAGCGCGACAAACACCTCGTGAACACCAGATAGCAGCGTGAGTCAGTGTCGCTTATGGAGGTGCTGAACAAGCGCTGAGGACCGTTGGCCATTCACAATGTTGTTGCCTCCAAACCATCTAATTCGCAAGCCCGCGCTGGGGACAACAATGTGAAGAAGAGGTTGGTGCGACTTCGGCGATAGTAGGGGAAGAGTGTGTTGCTCCCTACATGGGAGCTCGCGGTTTTCCTTCCGACTTGAATTCTCACTTGACTGAATCACGACTGCCATCCAGAGCACACGAGAAGTCCATCGAACCGTCCACTCGGCAAACCTGCAAGAAAGCCCACTCCCTGCTCAATACACAGTGTTTCGGGGAATTCACCCCTCATCAGTTGAGCTTGAGTAGGCTGAGGAAGATTGTGCCTGAATAGGAAAACCGCGAGCTCCCATGTAGGGAGCAACAGACTCTTCCCCTACTATCGCCGATGTCACACCAACCTCTTCTTCACAATGTAGCTACATGTACATTGTATATCAATATTTTAGAAAATTGGGTGTGTCTCGCATGCGTTCATTTGCTGTTGCTTTATACCTTCTTTTTGATGGTTTCTGTTTCGCCTAGCTATATCAAGCAAGTACGAGGTCATTTGCTATTTTTGGACACTCAAATTAAATAGCACCCCATTATGTTGGTTTGTAAGATAAATTAAATTTCTTTCTTGCTTTTCTACTGCCACACTTATGCTTTACCACCACCACACACACCTGAAGGCATAGAGTTGAAGCATGCGGCCACAACTTGACCTGATCGAAGGTGTCTTTTCTACTGCTTTTTCAATGCGAGCAATTATTGGACAACTAGATTAAATAGCATCTAGCAGCAGTCTGCAATGGTGTGAACAAGTAAAACTTGCACAGGACATGAACATGGGGTAAGGCTATGCCTATGAGACCGGCTGATGTGAGTTCTAATGACAGGCCGTTCATAGCAAGCTTTTCAAGGCTTTTCAATGTGACACACAATTTAAAGGGTCACTCAAGGGTTTTCATGGACGTCATATTCAAGAACAGAGGAGAGCACTCCAGTGTGGCCCATCTCCTTCTCATATTTCGCAAAGAGTGGAGGGCTAGCGCCGTAACTAGCCGCTGCGTCCTTCTTGGTTAGGAAGTGTTCACTGGTGCCAGGTGAGTGGAACGCTCGCACTGCTAAAAGATATTTCTCCTGACCAGAACCCCTCCACAAACGCACCGGTTGAGAAGGCGAGGAGACTCTTCCAGGCGGATTCGAGGTGGAAGACGTAGTCCCTGGAGTTGATGGAAGGGATACAACATCCCCCATGTCGACATTCTCTCCGTTATGCGACGTAGAGTCAACGGAATCCGCAATCATTTATTAATTAATCGAAATTTTCAAAATTACTCATTACATTACCTAAGAACAATAAAGAAAACGCCCAGAAAGAAACGGCCTTCACCGCTAAAAATTGGCACGAAGAAACTTGAGGACCACACGAAGACACTCTTGTCAAAGATTTGTCCACCAAGGAAAGGACAACGACTCAGGAGGACTCTACTTCCGTATTTAACTGATTTGTCCAAAAATTGCTACATGTCCAAAAATTGCGAATCACCTCGTACTACTAAATTAGTAGGACTAGAGTTGTCGTGCCCAGAGAACGTCACATGATTCACGACTCGGTTGGCGACACGTGACAATTGTACAGTCATGTACCAGTAGTACAATGCCGACCAATAGGCAATACTAGATTTTATACAGTAATGCCGCACTTTATGGAGTAGAAGCCACACTGGAGTATAAGCAGCACCCATATTGTTTGTCGTGTCAGGAAATACCGTCATCTACCCAATTTATCACCGTCAATTTGACTATCGTATCTATGCCTGTTTGCTGTGTAACAAGTCAAGTACATGTGCATGTCATAATATTATAATGTATGCAATCCTATCTAACATGCCGCATCGACTTTTTATGGGTGAATTGCTCGCGTTTAAAGCGCGGATTACATTGTATACTCCGGAAAATACGGTACCTTGACTCTGAGCTACATCTGACTGTTGAGCTCAGAAAACGTACAGTAGACTAAACTCTCTACCAGTGGCTAGATTCAGTGAGCACTGCAGCAATGTAAGTACACATGCAGAGGACACCGGAGAATTACCTGAACTGCTGAAGCTGACTGCCCTCACCAATCACACGCTACATTATAAGGAGGACACGGTTGACAGCTAAGACAATAGAAAGGATAAATCGATTACATACCTTCACAAGTATCTCCATAACATAATAATGCGCGAAGTCTTTGAAAATCTTTGAATGTACGCTGACTGCAATATACGTAGGCGCAATTGCACGTCTAAAACGAATACACTGCTATCAGTCTATGATGAAAATGATGGCAACCATTAATTTTTCTGGCAATAGAATGAATAGATGCAATACGTGTACATCGACACATCAAACCTACAACGTTTTTTTTATCAATGCAGACATGTGTCTGTATCAACAACTGGCAAAATACATAGGATCACAAGTACTGCAGGTTTTGAAAGGAGAAACCCCATAGACATACATGTAGGTACCACCAATGGTGCCTAAACATGCTCAGCTGGGACTTTCATCTTTATCTGTTATCTGTAATTTTGATAAATGAGTAAAATGAACTAAGACACGTGGAGAGAGCCATTCGTGAACCTGCGAGAGGCTGGCCAGTGCCATGCGCTGCTTTGATAATAGAATCATAAGTATTAGTTAGTAAGCGATGAAGCTACATTTAGGTGATGAGGTGTATGCTTACTCTGATGACATCATCTTGACTGGGCAGGCCCGATTCGTCATCGCTATCGTCTGCAAATGTTCACGATCCTTGGAATGGCTCTGCGCTTCCCCCCCCCCCCCATGGAAGTTCAACACCGGGCAGATCCGTTGGAGCTGCAGGGGCTTGCGCATGGGCCATGGAAAAGCAGGTGACGAACCGCGTGACATGGTTGAACTGGAGTAGATGTACATAGCACAGCACCAGCTGCTGCTGCTCGTGGTGCAAGTGCAAGTGCCCACGCATCTACAGGTGGAGAAGCCTCAGAACACACGGGACTGAACTTCAACATTTGGACTCCGCCTCCGCGTTCGAATCCGGCTGCACCTCAGCAGGGCTGGACTCAACTCTGGCAACATCTGCATCGAGATCGGCATTGCCAGCATCTGCCTCGAGATCGGCATTGCCAGCATCTGCCTCGAGATCGGCATTGCCAGCATCTGCCTCGAAAGCATCTGCCTCGAGCTGAATACTGCCACAATCTGGGTGAAGGTCAACACTGCCGGCGCCTGCCTTCAAATCCACATTGCCAACATCCGCCTGGAGATCAAGATTGCCAGCATCTGGCGGGAAATCAACATTGCCAGCACCTGCGTTAGCCACGAGATCCACATTGCCAGCATCTGGGCCCGGATGATGATCGACATTGCCAGCATGTGCCTGGGGATCAACATTGCCAGCACCTGCTTCGACATCAACTCCATGATCTGGGTTCAGCTGAGCAGTACCAGTGTCTGCCTGGAAATGCACCGGGCCATAGTGACATGCATGGAAATGCACAGAGCCAGCACCTGCCCCGAAATGCACAGGGTGAACATTTGCGTCCAGATCAAAAACGCCCGAGTCTGCATCAAGAACATCCTCATCATAACGCCTTTTAAGATAGTAACACAAGAAGAAGAACATACCAAAAAGGAAAAGAGCCGTGCCACATATAACTCCGACAGCCATTTCTTCCCGGCTTGCTTCAACCTCCATAACAACACAGAAAATGAACAGCAGGGAAAGGCCATACGATGATGTCGTAGACTGATAGCGGTCTGTGAAGGAGAAGCATTGAGAAACAGAGAGAAACATTGAGAAACAGAGAGAAGCAGAGAGAAACAGAGAGAAGTAAGCATGTAAACACGCCGTTACAAGAGACAAAGAGAGACACCAGCACGGACAAGGGCACAAGGAAATACTGACTCAGAAGGCTGCACACAAAACACACACACACACACACCTCACCTCACACACACACACACACACACACACACACACACACACACACACACACACACACACACACACACACACACACACACACACACACATACACACATACACACACACACACATACACACACACACACATACACACACACACACACATACACACACACACACACATACACACACACACACATACACACACATACACACACACACACACACACACACACATACATACATACACACACACATACACACACACACATACACACACATACACATGCATACACACACATACACACACATACACACACATACACACACACACACATACACACACACACACACACATACACATACATACACACACACACACACACACACACACACACACACACACATACATACACACATACACACACATACACATGCATACACACACATACACACACACACATACATACACACACACACACATACATACACACATACACACATACACATGCATACACACACATACACACACACACACACACATACACATACATGTACATACATACACGCACAGCCATGTATCCGTACATGTTTCCACACAATGTACATGGTTGTACAATTTCTTCTAAAATCGAGCACATGCTTAAAAAAAGTATCAGAACGTCTTCTATGCCTACGAAGTACATGTACTCGATGGGCACTTAAACACCATGGGCGCCCCACCCGGCATTTACATACTGTACATTGAAGAACTGTGCATTCATACGCCGCGGTCGTAGAACCATCTTCATACCGGACGCATCGCCCTTAGTCTTAGAGATGGTCTATGACGAGTTATCTCGTCGTTGACACTGAACGGGTGTAATCCAAGTTGTACCCTCGTTCTCCTAGTGAGCATATGGTACATTGTGTAGATGTGCTCAACCGACCATAGCTCTCCACACTCAAAACAAATTCTGGATGAGCGCATATCATAACAAACCAAGCATCCCAGCATTTCTGTCTTGAATCTATTTATAGACCGCTGTAGTGTCACATGAAGTCAAATGTTCGAGCGTTTAAATAATGGTCTTGCAACGCGCAGCCTTGTATCACGCACTCTTAAGTTGCCCATGTTCAGAACTGCCTTTGCCCGTCACGGCGCTTCCTTCCAATGTGCTAAGCTGTGGAATGATTTACACCCTCTAGCTCGCTGTGTGGATAACTCCGCCCGTTTAAAGAAACTGTTACCCCAATGCCTTGCTTTTTCACGCTAGTACTTATGACTTCCAGCTATGCAAAATGCGAACATGATCACCTCTCCAATACCGGTAGTCTATTATATTAATTATTCATATCTTTTTGCATCTTTCCCTCGAGTGGGTCTATTGTTAGTGTCCAGCTGATAATGCTCCGAAAATGTTCGTATAATTCTAATCATAATGCTCCAAAAACTACCTTGTAGTGCTGCTTATAATGCTTCAACAACGCCTATAATGCTCTTGGTTTGGAACAAAAATGGAAGAAAGGCTGCACATTGTCAAACTTCCAGGAAAGGACGCATTTAGTCGATCTGGCTCTGAAGCTGCTACAATATCTCTCATGAGCTCCACCACTTCTTAGCACTATACGACTGGATCGAGTCTCCATTGGTTGCTCTCCATTGCAACTTTGATGCAGGGCTGTGGCTGAATAGTGGGTGTATCGAATCTTTTCCCTTGCTTATCCATGTAGTGAGAGGTGAAACCATTATTGCTGGTGGTAATTTGGATGCTGGAAGCATATCATGGGAAGTGGTGTTCCTGCCTGCAGACAAGATGTCACTGCTTCCACTCTGTGAAAAATGCCAGTCTTCATCTGAAACAGCTCACGTGAAGCCAGTCGACAGACGATCTCAGATCGAGATCCCTCCCATTTGCGGAAATCCTGAAAACACATGGTCAGAAGTTGTTTTGCCGCTCTACATCTTCTGCTTGCGCTGTCTTCTTCTCCTGAGGTTGCGTGGAGGCAAAATATTAATGGTTGGCCACAATACTTTTCTTTTCTGATAGCACTTGACTGTAGGCCTTGCATTACAATCGTCCACGACGAACTGTACGTGCTTCACCAGGAAAGTAAGACAGGCGCTCCTGTGCACTCAAATCGACTTGGTAATGCGTCCATGAGAAATTCTAGTTCTTTTCGAGCCTGCTGATCTGGACTCGGCAAAGGCAGTTATTTGGAACAAGCTCTTTCTGTATATAGCAGCTCCTTCATCCAGGTCCAAATTTATCAATAGATGAATGTTTTCTTCAGTATCGCTAGAGATATGCTATGGCCAGAGCCTATGGCATAACAGGAAAACTCCTCTTCGTCTCTTTGATATTCACTTCGCGGACGTCTAGTATCCTCCATGGCTCTTCATGATTTCTAAAAAAGAACTCCTCGTAAATCATCGTTCCGGATATTATGTAACAGCCTCAGTTGCAACGTTGGGCATGCTACATCACCTGTACATTTACCTGACTACATTGCTACATAAAGACTTTATGTAGCAATGGCATTACATGTATGAAGTCAGGTAAATGTAGCATTAGCGCTAAATGTGTTACGTGTCTACAAATCACAAAGTTATGTGCCGGTACAATACATGGCGTTGCACCTCATGGCTTTAGCCGATTGTTGCCAAAAACCTTATATTTCCCGACATTATCCACTATGAAACTCGTTATGCCGCTGAAACCTCACATAATGCTCGTCTTGTTCCTTTCTAATGCTCCATAATGCTCTGATGATCGGATAGTCTCATAATGCCGAATATAATGCCGGCATTATCCGCTGGACCCTATCTATTGTTATTAGGCAAGTGTGTTATAGTCACCACTATAAAATCCAATCCAATCCAATCCAATCCAATTTATGTTATCTATTTTGTTTTTACTGCGATACCTCGAGGCGGAGCGGGAACGCCAGCCAATGTGAAGAGGGCGGGAATTATCCAACCACTGCTGATAAGTAGGGGTTGTGAAGGAAAAAGAATTTCCTTGCATGTATGCAGCGAACAATGTACATGACCTATTGCACATGACTTATTATTTTGTAGGCCCTAACACAATGTCAAACAGTGGGGTTAACCCCGGTTGACAGCACTAGTTTTGAATGGTTTGAGAGCGCAGCCAGTCTGGCCAAACAGTGAGCTCTTACCTTGCAGTGACATCTTGCTTGATGGGCACCGTACTGGTTTTGTCTTTTCCTGTACAGGGAATATTATAAACGTGAGGGCATTATGGTGAGATGAATGGGAATATGCCGTACTTGCGTGATTAGAACCCTCTCTTGAATGGCGACCCGTCAAGAATATTACCCCTGTCTCTGAGACTGAGCCAATGGAAAAATGAAAGTTATGAAACCCTCTTTTAAGGAGTTCCCTCCTCTCCGGGCTTGTATTCAAGGGCATGTGAAGTTTGGTGTTGTCTAATAATGGTCTTTTGCATACAATTGCACTGGTGGATTCAGCATCGCAATCACAGAGTAGTTTTTGTTTATAATTATTATAGTCCACCATACGAATACAGACCCTCGATTAGCCATGAGAAATTCAGAACAGTGTTGGCATTCGCGAGTTGTCGTTCTTCGCGAGGTTTAAGTATGCGATCAAAAGGACATTGGAAAGCACACAAGAACATTCTCATTCATGATTATGCATTAACGTGGCAAAGTCTCGGTTGGCACACGATTTCCGAAACTGACAGCTATGCGCATGAAATACGGTTGCTACTAAGACACGTTAAAACCCTACTTCGAATAAAATTATTTACTTGATTGTTGGGTCACATAATAATGTTATGTATTCACTACGCCAATAGTACATGTCGGGTAGGGTGTTGTATAAATCGTTGTCCAGCCGAACCCCACCACCCGGCATCTTTCTAGAGTCCTGCTGCGCACTTGCTGCACCTACATGTACATGTAGCTAGGGACCGGCGGATTCTGCTCGAAAAGCAGTGAAATTGGTAGAACCATACAAACCTTATGGGGGGGGGGGGCAATTCCTCGAATTCTGCTCCATTTCTTTATCCACATACCAAACATGCATGAAACTTACCAGAAAAAGTACGGAATTCTGCCAATTTTTCCGCCGGCAGAATCCGCTGGACCCTAGCTGCACCAGACCATACAATGTAGAAACAGTAACTAGCTAGTACTATGGATAGGTAAAAGAACGATAACTCACCTGTTTGTCAATCTCGCAGAACACACTGCTCTATACCGGTAGTGTTACAACGCTACGATGTCCAACTTCCCGTCAGTATTGCAGACGAAACTAAACCGCTCCAACTAGTAGTAGTACTAGAAGTCTGCTAAGGGCAAGATGATTTTGCGCTAAGATGTTTCGCTTTTCAAACTCAAAGTGGTCGAACGTCACGTCGAGGCGTTGACGCGAACAAAATATTAGAAGGTGCGCGCTATGCCCAGGCGCTGCATCTGCCACCTAACCTTAGACTTAGTGTAGTCAGACATGGTGGTGGCCTGGCACAAGCGAAACTTCCGAAGCTGTTTCTGTTTCTCCACACAATTTGTACAACCATTTGTGACGCAGATGTGTAATATCCCTGCCTTGCTTAAACTACGTTATAGTTATACATGTACTGAACTGCTGCATACTGCACTTTTACATCTATTTTTATTACATCTAATTTGTACAGCCACTTGTGACGCAGGTGTGTAATATCCCTGCCCTGCTTATAGTTATACATGTGGTAAAAAAAATTATAAAAAAATGCTGCACTATTACATCTATTTTTACCTCATTGCATACTAAAGTACAATCATGTACTGTAGTATCCTGCATGTGCGCAAACTGTCAAAACTGAAAACTGTCAAAACTGAAAACTGTCAAAGCTGGTTATGACACGTGTATACCTAACGTTAGCACTCGGACACAATCATCTCTTTGCATACATGTAAAATGTGCATTGTACATATATGCAAAGCCTGTCAAGGCGACCACTCGAATAAGGCAACCACCTGTCCTTGAAGACCACTAAAAGCAAGATCAAGGGGTGCTGTTTTCAGTCAAATAACCCCGGATAAGGAGACCACCTGGTAACAGAGACCACGTTGTGAACGTCCCTTGAGCGGTGGTCGTCTTAGACAGGTTTCACTGTACATGTATATTCGCCTGACAGGTCTTACCCCGCACACACTAGCACGCGCACACATCTCCTACTGCAATGACTTACAATAGTGTTTACATACACAACAGACTAGCTTACACATTGTAGATGACAAGTACTTATTATACGCAACTCACCTCTCAACAGCTGGCTCTATTATTCCTCTGTCTCCTATTATATTCCACACCCACGTTTCGTCACTTTCCTACTCGCACACATTTAAAGGCAATTTCTTTTGCTTATGCATGACACCTCTTCGTTGTTACTGTTAGGTTTTGGCGGATAATGCTCGAAAAGGGGGTAGATTCTGCTCGAAAAGCAGTGAAATTGGCGGAACCATGCAAACCTTACGGCGGGCAATTCCTCGAATTCTGCTCCATTTCTTTATCCACATACCAAACATGCACGAAAGGTACCAGAAAAAAGTACCGAATTCTGCCAATTTTTCTGCCGGCATTATCCGCAAAGGCCTAGTTACTAAAGTTGGTTGCTCCAACGAGGACCACACGCTTCTTGCCCAACTTGACACTTGAATGATTCACGACTGCCATCCGAAGCACACGAGGAGCACGTCGCACCTTCCGCTCTGCAAACCTGAAATAAAGCACCACTCCCTGCTCAATACACCGCCGAAGTCGCAACTTCTAAGGCCTAGTTACTGTAACTTCTTGGAAGTCTTATCGTTGGCTAGGACCTGTTCTTGGTCGGCATTCTCTGTCGTCTTGGGCTTCCTGTTTGTCCTGCTGCTCTTCCACTTGTTAGTTTTTTTACTTCTATTGCTAAGCTCAGTGAAGTTCCAGTAAGCTATCTCCAGGTGTGTGCCGGAGAAAGTTCAATTACAGTAAAACCTGGTGTAAAGCGACCTCTGGTTTTAGCGACCACCTGCTCTTAACATTGGCCGGTGTTTCCACCGAGTCTTGAGATGTTGTAATAAATATAAATATAAATATTGTCACTGCATGAATAGGTTATGGTGCAACGGTTGTGCAATCATAAAAACCGGGAGTATGGGTTTTATGTTGACAGTGAACACTGGTGAATGCGTAAGTCCTGGTGTAATCTGCTGTTGATCTGTGTGGTCTTCCATTTTCCGTCCTGAGTGGTGGATTCGTTGTAGTTGTTGTGTATATGTCATGAAGCATGTGGTGGTGTTGCCGTGATTGCTAATGCCTCTACTGACTCTGTAGGTAATTCCAATGCTGCAGTCAATACTGATTCCGACGGAGCACATGCATCGCTTGTCGGGGTCACTCTCCATCTCCACAGACCCGGAAGGAGGAGGGTCAGGGAGGCAAGGGTGCCGAAACCACCAGCGGTACCGCCCCAAGCAAGGCACCCCGATGGCACAGATACGGGTGCCCCAGAAGGCAGTACCAATGGCGGCGCCCCTCCAACACCGACGTCAGAGATGGAAAGGCGGACAGTGGCAGAGAACTCTCCGGCAATGTGGGCAAATGATGGTTTCCAGGCATCTCGTGCTTTTGCCTCTCCGATTGTGCGTTGGGTGGGAGAATGTGAAGTGGTGTGTGTTGTTTGATGCGTGCGTTCAGGTGCTGAACAGTCCTACCAACGTCCCGACTAGCACAATGTCGGCATTCAAAGTTAGTTGTAGATACATGTAACATAACTGTGGTGGAGGGTCTCCTCGCCGAATATTTATATTTCTTTTTATTATGCGAAATAGTGGTCGCAACTTCGGCGATGATTTGTAAGAAAAGGTTTGCTCCCCACACTGGAGCTCGCGCGCCGACTTGACTTGACACTTGACTGACTCACGACTGCCATCCTGAGCACACCGTAGGAGAGAAGTCCATCGAACCTTCGACTCGGCAAACCTGCAAGAACGCACCACTCCTTGCTCAATACACATTTTTTAGGGGAATTCACCCCTCATCAGTTGAGCTTGAGTAGGCTGAGGAAGATTGTGCCTGAAGTTCACCACTTATTATAGTGCTCTCCAGGCACAACCCCCCCCCCCCCAAATGTTCCAAACGAGCTACGTTTTGGGCATTTTTTGGCAGAGCGCACGATCGATCTGACAAGAATGCAAAACTTCAACAGATTGTAACTCAATCAGATCTCGCTCAAATTCAACCATCTAAATATCCAGGTCAAATAGAAAACACTCAGCTGTCAGTAGAAGCAACTCACGAAGCGCTGCGAGCAATGTTTCCTGAGATATATCATTCGTAAGTTGAGCCGTCTGCGCATCACTTCTTGGCTTGTGGATTGTTTGAAAAGAGATAATAATAATACAGAAATACCTACATTCTGCCTGTGACTACACACGAACTAACCCTCCTGATTTTTTCCAACCATAGTTTGGGTGTATGAAGTTGAAGACACCACTGCAGCTGTACTTATGGTTGATATGGTGGTAAAGACACACCTGGCAATATGGCGGTAAACACACGGCTGCCCACACACGCTCTCTACTACTCTAGGCTGCAAAGTTCTGGCACAGAGTTCTCCTTCTCACCACCACCACCATCACTTCGCGCCTGGCACCTGGTCGATACATGGCTGGCGGTATCCGGCATAGCAGGCTGGTACATCAAGTAGCGCATGGCACATAGATGATGACACAGCAACGACATAGCTCGATTGCGACGTACGTTTCGTCCCGCTGGACTCATCAGGCAATCTTCATACGGAGCTTGACTCCGTATGAAGACATCCAAGAAGATTGCCTGATGAGTCCAGCGGGGACGAAACGTACGTCGCAATCGAGCTATGTCGTTGCTGTGTCATCATCTATGTGCCATGCGCTACTTGATGTACCAGCCTGCTATGCCGGATACTGCCAGCCATGCATCGACCAGGCGCCAGGCGCGAACTGATGGTGGTGGTGGTGAGAAGGAGAGCTCTGTGCCAGAACTTTGCAGCCTAGAGAGCGTGTGTGGGCAGGCGTGTGTTTACCGCCATATTGCCAGGTGTGTCTTTACCACCATATCAACCATAAGTACAGCTGCAGTGGTGTCTTCAACTTCATTCTCCCGAGTCAAGCTCCGTATGAAGACATCCAAGAAGAAGATTGCCTGATGAGTCCAGCGGGGACGAAACGTACGTCGCAATCGAGCTATGTCGTTGCTGTGTCATCATCTATGTGCCATGCGCTACTTGATGTACCAGCCTGCTATGCCGGATACCGCCAGCCATGCATCGACCAGGCGCCAGGCGCGAACTGATGGTGGTGGTGGTGAGAAGGAGAGCTCTGTGCCAGAACTAACTTTGCAGCCTAGAGCGCGTGTGTGGGCAGGCGTGTGTTTACCGCCAGATTGCCAGGTGTGTCTTTACCACCATATCAACCATAGTTCGGGTGTGACCACGAACCCATGCCCTTGCGACGTGCTCGCTCCATGCTGTGACCTGCAGACCAGAGAGGTCCGCTAGCTATGCAGCTTGGTAGATCTATAATTATTATGACATAGTCATTGAACATTGTTGTCTTGTACGTAGCTAGCTGTAGATAATACAAAGACTAAAGTAGGTCTCCACTGAATATAGATCTACAGCTACGCGTTCACTTCGGAGAAAGAGGTGCATGCATTTGTTGAGCTGCTGCGGAAACTTCGAAAGTACATAAGTATTAGTTTCAAAAACTAGATCCTGAATAGTGGCCGTGCAGTGCTGTAATTGTCGTCACGGCTCGTGCTTTTTGAGCTGTCTTAGAGTTCGTCGAAGCGTCTAAAGGAGGCAGGATCAAGACCAGCTGCCATTGAATTTTGGTGACACTCCAAAGAAAAGTGTAGCCACTAGTGTCGAAGGTAAAACAAAGAGCGAGACTTTGAAAACCACCTTCAAGTTCAACGTCCTATCATCCAATAATCAAATTTCTCCGAACTGGGGACAATTATGACTGAGACACGAAAGCTGCAGGAAGCCTGCCTTATGGAACCTACTGTACAGTGGAGTCAACATCGGGCGGCTCGGAGTACAAAATTATGGACAATTATTACAGACAAGCTGCTGGAATCGGAAAGTACCAATCAGCTATTCTGCAGTAAAGAAATTGAAAATTTCTTCCTTGTGCTACGTGTCTTCAATAATGTTTTAGCTGCAGAGTGTTGAAAACAGGGGTACTGAAGTTACATTTGTATAGCAGCGGGCATGTTCAAGTATTATTTGGTACCGATAACGCGAACGTGTGAACTTGTTATACAATCATGTACATGAGTATGTCATCATTTCGTCATTGTGGGTAGGGTGGGAAAAAATTGAACCCTCCTTGGAAAAATCCTGGATCCGCCCCTGTGTATGGTGATTTGTGACTGGTCATCATGGCCATGGGGCATTGTGACTGTTTGACTGGTCACGGGGACCGTGATTGGTCATGGGGCCTTGACTGGTCACAGAGTCCTACATATATCTTGCCGCATTTTGACTACTGCTGTACTGCCTGGACAAATTATATTGCCCAACAGCAGAAACTGGAAATTCATAATCGTTCCCTCCTTTTAAAAGATTCGTTATCATATGCTCAAGTCACGTTCTAGTGTCGCTCTCATTATGTTATCCTCGACCAGACCACTCCTAGAAAGACGATGAATCATGATGTACTGTTTTATCCATAGTATTCGACTTTCCAAAATACCCCCGCACCTTAAACTATTTGACTGGTTCCGACGGGATAGCCCCACTAGGAACCAACTCCCCTTCCTCTAGCCCGCTCTTCTGCATTGCTAGACTCCCCCTTTTCAATGGCTATTTGCAGTGGCTTTTGCTGCACCAGGAGACAAAGGGTCTTTCTAGTTTAAGGTGGCAGACTACCCAAAAATTCGCTGAAAAATCGAATTTGTAAATTCATATTGAGTGCTACGTCAGTTGAAAGAGCATGAATAGCTGCAAATTCTCTGAAAACTGTGTCCCGATCTGACCGGCCGTTCAAGAGTTATGGCCGAAAATGTGCCCTTGCAAGGAAAGATTTTTTTGTTGCACGCTGTCATTAAATTTGTGGCAGCACTGTATTTGAATGTGAGCAGACCGTGCGCAACTTGTCGTATCATGGAAACACGTGAAAGTGTGCAGAATTTTGCTCCAAGTCCAAAAAATCAGGTTTTTGAGCCACGTATTGGGCTGCATGGCGGCGGGCGAAGCCCGCCGCCGTGCAGCAGGACTTTTGCCAGCACCCTCGTGACGTTGCAGATATGTGGCTTGATTATTGTAGTTGACGTTGATTTAGTGACTTTGGCAAGTTTGAGTAGTGTCAAGAAGTCAGGTAGGATTCAGTACTAGGCAGTAGTGAAACGTGAGTGGTAGTCTTTGCTGGTTTCTGAGGGTATCCTGGATTTGGTGTGCAGCGCTGTGGAAATGGCTTGCTGTGGAGGTCCCAGCACTGGATGTTGTATCAAAGGTACGACCTCGTAGCACGTGCTAAACCTAAAAAAATCCAAAAATGGACTTGGGTCTGTGGGAGTGTGTGAGAGAACGCCCACTCGTTCCGTTGTGACAGATTCCAGGGCCTCGTTGAGGGGCCCTACCCCATCACCCATGGCTGCTTCTGGACTTGTTCTAGGTTTGAATCCCGCGCACGAACAGAATGAGCACGAAAATGTGAAAAAATTGTAAATGCATTTGTTTGGCTCCTGGGTGGCTCGCACACCGTGGCACTATGCCGGAAATTTGAGTTTTTCCGGCCTGGAAAGCCTGTCAGTGAGGCGCAAGAACTTGTTAATCATGTCCTGAGGGCCAGCATAGTGGCAGGAGTGTGTGGTCAAAATTTCACTCAAATCCATTGAGAAACACCAAAGTTACGGTCAATTGAATGCCATATGAAATTTATGGGTAGGCTGCCCCCTTAACAGCATTCAGGAACGCCTTGCTTTAGACCACAAGTTTAGTCCATATTTGCTTCTTTCTTCTTTTCCTTTTCTTTTTGACTTCTTTAATACTCTTTCCCTTGTTAGCCGTGGTTAGCTAAAAAAAAACCTGCAATCGCCAACCAAAGTGGTCATTGGCTAACCCAGCAATGTATTGCTTCGAATAAAATAAGTATAATAAATTGTGCCTACAACTTCCATGTTACAAATAAATAAATATCTGTACCCTGTGGATGTGTGCTTAGATGCAATGGGCTATTCTTGATGTAAGCAGGCGAAGTGAGTTCTCTCGGAATTGCGTTAACAGAGGCATGAAACTATACTCCTTTTTCTTTAAATAATGCAAGGGAATAAGCTGAAAGTATCTACATTATTATATCTGGACCATGTGGATGCGTGCTTACACAATAATTTCAATTTGGCCAAATTAAACCCAAGCTGAAGCTTTGAACATTTAGTGAAAGAAAGGCAGGTGTTTACATGAAGGAAAAAGAGAACAAAGGAAGAATATTGTGGCAGATAACAGTACAGTATATGCAGAGCAAAGCAAATTTTATACTTCTTGTAATTGAGTTGAAACCATTCAGGGTATGTAGCAGGCGGCAGACAGCAGGCAAAGCAAAACAATACGCCAAGGAACCACATGTCATGCGGGGGGAGGGGGGGGGTTCTACTGTGTGGCGCTGTGTTAATTCGCTTCCATAGAATTGGGCACCATTGCCCGTTTGGCCTTGCGAAGTAAAATAAAAATCAACAACAACATTACTGACAGAGAGTCTAGCAGCAATACCGCGCCAGTCCAGAGCAAGCAAATGTACACTGAGACTGATGCCAACGGATTCACACTCTATTAGAAGTGATTGATCCAACTGGTCAGCAATCCTATCAAAAAAATATCTAGTTGAGGAAAAATGGCAAAAAAGCGGGATTGCACTCACCAGAATGTTGTGGGTGCCAGGCAGGTATCACACATCACAAGCATTTAGCAACAAAAGTTCCAGTTGTCACGTGCAGCCGCATGTACTCTGGGTGGCAGTCGTGAGTCAGTCAAATCTCAAGTCTAGTCGGCGGAGAATCGGGAGCTCCAATGTGGGAGCAGCCATCTTTCCAATTGCATTCTTACTCCAAACACTATAATGTGATCGTGAGCTCTGTGTTTAAAAAACAGAGTATTGCACATGTGACAGCGTGTCGTATCAAGGGAAGCAGTCACGGTGATAAGGGCAAAGCACAAAGATAATCTGGACAATTATATAAAGTGATATTCAAAGACAGAGGTCCTAACATCCTGGCGTGGGTTTGACCGGCACTAGCTGAGCAACTGAGTTACACTAATCAGCCGGAAACGACAGGTGAACATCGCCGCTAAATTTGGCTGACAGCCACACAGCTGGACAGATGCTTGAAATCACACCAAACTGCTGAGAACGTGAAGGTTGAGTCCCAGCTGCGTAACTATAGTGAATGTCAGACTCTTCGAAAACGTGCTCTGACGACAATAACGTATTATGATACTGTTCTGGCAGATGACGTGACTTGAATGCCATGTCGATGTCACTGTCAAGTGGCAGGACCTTCTTAGACGGAGTCAGAAGGTCAACTACGTACTTCACATTGCCGTGTGGTTGGGTGACGACCAGAAAGTCACGTTCAGGGATATACTCCAGGGTCAGTTGATCACCATTGCGAAACTTGAAGTCTGGCTCAGCATCCCCACCATCGGTATTAGGTCCGCCACGATGTGGGTTGTAGCAAGTCGCCTTGCCACACATAGCATTGCCTGACGAGAAGAGAGTGACAGCACTGCCAGCATAGGTCTCGAAGTCATTTCGGGTGTTACTTCTAACCAATGCCTTCATTGCCTCTGATTTTTCGTTCACCAAGAGCCCAACGCCAATTGCCGGGTCTGAGATCTCTTCTCCATTGCCGACATTGTGCACTTCAAACTTGATATGCCACTTGATCGCAGGTCCATTGATCGTTTTGGGTATCGCCTTCGCTGCAGCGATCAGCCTTTGTGGTGCGTCTGTTCCGTACTGCTGGTTTCCGTAGGCCATCCACGCACCCTGTCTTCGTTGATTCCTTCCCGCTTGCTCCTCATCCTCAAATTTAGCGTGAAGCCCAGTCAAGGACAGCTGGATGCCGGTTTCTTTAACTCCATGGCTCTGGCGGAGTGTGTATGATTTGGAAGTGTGGCCGAAGATCCATGGTGGTTTCGACACATTGGCAATGGCTGGCGAAGCTTTAGCAGGAAGGCCAGCAATGGTAGCATTCACAGCGTATTTGCCTGGTCCACACGCGGGGATGAAGTTGAAAATGGCTTTGGAGCTCTCAACAGTAGCGCAGATTACTTTTCGAACTCTGCCATCGGGAGCAGAAACTGTGCAGCTGATAGCACCGCTGTTGATATTGGATGTGGGGTGTCCGCTTGCATCTGCCAGGTTGACAGTGGCTGTGACGGGTTGGCCAGTATAGCAGTTAGTGGGAAGACGCAGGCTACTCTCTCCACTTGTGGCTGTGGACGTGACACAGCCAAACTGCTTCAGAGAATCCTTTACATCAGAGAGATCAAGCACTGCTGATAAAGATCCGTCATCATGGGCGAGGGAGGACTCTTTTTGCGAAGCATGCAGCAAGCTCTTCAAGCGAGCATCCACAAAGCCGTTCAGAATAAGTCGTTGCGATGGGCTGGCACATTCCTCCATTGACTTTGCAAATCCTGACGCACACATCACATTCTCCTGCAGTCGTTTCAATGCTATCTCTTGATTCTCCAGAGCAATGCTCTTCTTTTGGTAAACTCTGTCCACGTCTGAAAGGAGCTCGTTCAGTCGAACATCAACAAGCCGCTTGGCTTCAATGGCAGCTTTCTCCATGTTCTGACTCGTTGCAAGGAAATTGGTGGCGAGAGTCTCCTTGGACCACTCGATGCTCGTCAGTGTGGCTTGAAACTGTGTCACCATGTGGTCCAACTGTGGAACATCCTGCCACATCTTCATTCTTTCGATGGCGTTTGGTATGAACATGTATGCATGCAATTTGTGATCCACCAATACACAATCTCTGCATATACACTGAGAACAGCTCTCACAATACAACTCCAGTTCTTTCTGTTTGTGGTGGACGCACATCAATGGACTGCGTGCTACAGCCAGTTCAGCAATATCAACGGATACCTTTCCATCATCAGCAGTTGCTGCGCTGGATGACTGGAGTTGGCTGAGAGGAATGGTTTTATGATCATGAGTAGCTTTGCTACGTCTATGAGCTGTTTCATGGAAAGTGCACAGAAACTGACTACAACTTGCACAGCGATGGCTGGCTATTTCCGCATCTATACACTCTCCGCAGTTGTTGGACTGGTGTGGATTACGCAGTTTCTGCAACGCCACATAGTCCAGTGCCAAATAGTCCACTTGCAGAGTGTCCATTTGGCGAGGACCGACGATGTAGGCACATGTCCCGCAGGTGAAACATTCATCTTTGTCCCTTGCTGTGCCAGCGACCCTGCACTTGATACAAACTGAATGTAAGCAAGGCAATAACCTGGCATCCACCAGCTCCCCATTGCAGCCACAGCATGACCATCGACTGGACGTCTCCTCCTTTGCCTTTGGCTTCGGCTGGTTCCTATCATAGCGATGCTGTCTGTCGGCCAAAGACATTGCCTTTCACAGCCTATGCCACTGCCCAAGCCAGATGGGGCGAGCTCCCGTTACTAGTACTAGTGCTAGTACTGTAGTAGTACTTCCACCGCTATTGCCAACCATACAGAACACAACACCCGAGCCGTTTAGTCTGCTTTCCACAAATTAGTGGCAATTATTGTGTGCACAGACTAGGCTACGGCTTGGCGTGGCGTGGCCTAGGTAGGACAACACAATTATTTTTGCCGGTTGGTGTTGGACTCGGAAATATGGAGCAGCCAGCACGAGAAATACTAAGCAAGGCGGTTGCTCGCCACCACGGTCAACAAGCCACGGTCATGGCTCATGGACCCCGCTGTCATCAGGGAGTCGCCATAACACCGTATTTGACGACTCCTAGGACCTGGCTGCCATCCGTGGCCTGAGTCGCGGCGCGCGCTGCCTCAGCAGTGCCTGTCAAGTGACAGATTTTTTGCTGTCCAGCCTTCGCAAACCACACACTCTACAAGGGGCGGCGAGGCTGGAGGCGCCGGCGTCGAGCTAAGCATGCATCTATCATGTGTACTGTCTTACTACTGAGTCTGTTTACATGTAAGTACACATTTTCGTTCGCTATATTCGTTAGGGGGCACGAAATAACTAAAGTTTGTACCAAACTTAATTTTTTTTCTGAACGTTCGATCGGGGTGGCAGACCTGGACCAAAAACGAAATCTAGTACGTATTATAATATATAAACAAGCCGGCTGGTGGAGTGAAATAACGAAAGATTTCGTGAACGAAAATTTGTACTTGTATAATATGCTGCCTGATGATTGCGAGAGCATGAAACTTCAAGTCGCAGCAAACAAGCCTTGATTGTCCTTGTTGTTCTGTTCTGTACTTATACAGTACTAGCAGCATGCACCCGGCCAGCGTTGCCTGGCCGAACGTGGCATGCGGGCGAAGCAAGTACATGAACAGCGCACGACCTCAGCACGTGGTGGTGGCTACACGATTCGCGCGTTAACGCGTTAGCGTTCGAATAGTTGTAATCTGGGTGTTAGCCCAGTCCGATCGCCAGATTAAAAAAAACCTTCTTTTTCCGTGACTTTTATTTTCCGCGCGGCGCGAAATTTGAGTGTTGAGAGAGAAGATCGTGTGAAAGGCATACCTTGATAGGCCTTGACGGATTATGCTAATATTTTCGTGAAATTATGCTTTTCGCATTGCTGAAAAAATTGCAGAATTATGCTATTTTTATGCTTAAAGTTATCATATTATGCCGCATTATGCTCACATATGCTGCTAATGCATAATGGTTCTGTGCAAAATAACAGGGGAATTTTTTTGTAACAATCGACGGGGAGACAATAGTCGTAAAATGGCAATAAATAAGATAAATTGTGCACTCATAACAACAGCAAAAATGAAGAAAGTCAAGTTCCATAACGTTTTCTTGTGCTGTCATCAGTGGAACGCCGTCACATAAAAATGTAATAACTAAAACACACACTTATATACATGTAGCTAATATGGTTTCAGGTAGAAATACAGCAGCTAACAGGTACAAAAAGCGAAGTTTGCACCTTTGCAATGTGTGAATATAGTGTATGTGAGAAAGGTAGTGGCAGATGAATGTGATACTGTGTGAATGAATGTAATGGTGCGTAACTTCGCTTTTTGTACCTGTTAGCTGCTGTATTTCTACCTGAAACCATATTAGCTACATGTATATAAGTGTGTGTTTTAGTTATTACATTTTTATGTGACGGCGTTCCACTGATGACAGTCACAAGAAAACGTTATGGAACTTGACTTTCTTCATTTTTGCTGTTGTTATGAGTGCACAATTTATCTTATTTATTGCCATTTTACGAATTTTTTTGTAGAGGGCGTTGTACTGTAGTAGCAAAAGTTCAACGGGGTCAACGCAACGTCCGACCTAGCTACGACCATCACTGATTGTAGTGGACTGGACATGTTATCAAGGGAGTCGTAAACCTTCAACTTCCTAGTGCATCTACTTGTACTCGTACTTGTAGAACATGTACAACTGTATGGAATTTGATGCGAACAGGCGGATTATTACAATTTTATGCGATTCGTATGCAATTTGCCTCGAATTATGCGATTATTCGATTTTGGTAGGAATTATGCGAAAAATTATGCTAGCATAATCCGTCAAGGCCTATACCTTGACGTCCATTGACAGACCGTAAACTTTCTGTTTTACTGAGCTATTCCTTCGTATCGCATCAGCCTTTGCCGAAATTTATCCTTATTAGGTATATTTCTTCCCTAAATTGCCGTTAAAAGTTTGCCCAGTGCTTATGAAGATCCTTTTTTCGCCTCCTTATCCAGACTGCCATTTCGACGAGATTCTTGTTTTCAAAAGTTTCATTTAGTGCCATGACCTTAGCCGCGGCTTCACCGTGACATACTTCCCAGTCTGGGGCGCAGTAAGTCTTCCTCTCCTCACATCCCGGAGTTCGTTCGTGTCCGGGCTACCATACTTTCAGGACAGCCAATTTCATATACCCTATTTTTTCTTTATTTTCTACATGTTTTTAGACTTGAAACACCATGCCTGGTAGGCGCAGCCATGCTGCAGACCTCCACCCCGAGCGTTCATGTGGTCCCTGTGGCATATGTGGAGTGAATGCACTTGACGGGAAGTACACCCACAACACGTCAATCAGCAACTGGCAACAATTAATCACTGCACCATGGGCAGCCATGCATGTATTTGCTGGCCTTGCAAGAAATCCCTTACACGCAGCAGCAGCAGCACCACCACCACCAACAGCAGCACCAACAGCGGCAGCAGCAGCAGCAGTGTGGACACACCACCCGTCCGGCACCGGCAATGCTCCGTGGCAGATTGCGATGCCGATGCATATACACGCTATCCACCCACACAAACTGACTCGCTGCTGTTGCAGGATGGGCAGGACATAAAGGATGCAGTGGTGTGCTCCAAGCACTTTAGCCAGCTGACCAGCGGCCGTAAGCACCACTGTGGCGATTGCCATGCGCCAATGGAGCTAGAGCCATTGCGGAAGGCTGCAAATTACCAGGTTGTGGCAGCAAAGCTGAAGGATGAGGGCATCACTGTTTCAGAGGACGCCGTCTACTGTACCAAGTGCTACAATGCACACCTGGCCTTGGTTACAGTAGACGGCTACGCAAGCGCAGATTACCAATTGAATGCCATTGTTATAGCACAGCGGGGCATACACACGGCTCCAGCGGCAACACTCGTGCTTGCTGGAGAGCAACTGCTCTCAAAGAGTGCAGTTTTGTTGGTCACACTGCACGACCACTTCATGCACCACGCTGCCACAGGCTCACACAAACCAGCAAAATGGCTTCTCAGCCAGATAATGGAAGTGTTGGCAGAGCACATTGAAGTTGTATACCCGAATGTGAAAAAAACGTGGTATCCTGTTGCTACGGAGAGGGTGCAACACGCAACAGACCCTTGCATGATGCTCTTTCCACCCAGCGATGCGCTTCAATGTCACACGACAAGCTTGCCACGGACATACCTGTAGTAAACAACAGGACAGAATCAGAAAAGGGAGTTTCGGCAATGGCGGAGCAGGTACACATGATGGTCAGGGCACAGGCTGGTGAAGGCAAATGGGTTGTGTGGCCCAGGTTGCAAGTGTCACAACTGCCAGAACATGCCAAGCGCCACCACCTCCAGCAATTGAGCTACGTGTAAGTATGTACATGTATGCAAGTACATGTACCGGTTTGCATATTTGGATGCGTGTATAATGTCATAATTGTGTTATGCATGTTCACGCAGATTTAAAATAGTCTCAAATCTGCAACTGGTCTGCAAGCATACCTTGTATGTTGTGTGTAACTGTCTGGAAGTGTTCAATTTCACACCGTTGACATCTCTGTGCTTGCTGAGGTTTTGAAATTTTAACTAATGGCTTTGCTGTTTCAGGTATGTCCATTTTGGGGTGAATTATTTCCAATGCCAAAGGTCCGGCCTCATTTCTCGGTGTTGACCTGAAGGAGCTGCACGATTTGTTCAACCGCAAGCAATGTTAGTGGACAGAAATGCACGTACATGTATGTATGTACAATTTTAAACCCACACACACACGTAACTACATATTGTATCTTTTTTCCAAGAGCGTTTTGATGGTTTCTGAGAGCTGAGGTATTTCAGGACAGTTCACAAATGCACTACAATAGTTCAGACACCAGAACTAATACTCATAAAAAGGACACACTTCAGGCTCATTACAAACATCTTGAAAGTTTTTGTCTTCACAAGTATACTTTCAAGCCTTCTCATCAGGTGAAATACAGGCAAGAGAAAAGGAACAGGAACAGTGGATTAAATACAGTAAGAAGGTGGTAAAACAGCGCAAAAAGAAAGAAAGAAAGAAAGAAGATAGCTAAAGTAAACAGCGAAAATTGCAATAATGACACAAAGGTGCAAATGCGAGAAAACTCAATAAGCGCGACATGTAGTGCGACAACAAGAGACAACCACTGGACATACATGTAACTAACGAGGTTTTGACGACCTACCTAACAGCCTAAGTGTGAATTTGATTTGTTTCTGTTTGCAAAGGTTGGGTTTCCTTGTGTGGATGTATACAGCTTCCAAAACATTCAGCAATCTAGCACTGCGTACACGTGACACAATCGAAAAACAATCATCCGAATACACAGCACGACAATCAGGATGCTCAAACAAATGACTAGCAATGGACGACTCATACTTATCAGAACTAACATCAGAACAATCAGCATGTGCGGTGGACACATCCGATTTCACATGGCTAGTCGAGTGGACCCTAGCCGTTGCCTCTGTCTGTGCTTTAGTCGCTGCCATCGCCGCCGTTGCCGATCTTGTTATTCTTCTGGTTGATGTGGTTCCTGTCACTGCCACGCACGTAGGTGTCTTGTCCGGTTGTTTTTCTGGTGGTCTAGTTAATTGTGAGGTGACGTTCCTTGGTGTTGATGCCGCTGCGTTGGACCATCTTGTACCAGGATGATTCTTTGCTGGACGTCCCCTCCGTGGTCGAGTGGATCGTGCGTGTTGTGGAATAAGGTGTAGCGGTGCGTGTTGTCGGATGCGTGCGTCCAGATGTTGAAGAGTCCTACCTACATATCGGCTCTCACATTGCCGACACTCGAAGTGATAAATCAACTTGGATAATTGGCCTGTAGGTAGGACGTCCTTCCTCACCGTGAACGCACGCACCGTGGAGTAGATGAAGCGAATATGAACATTATGGTAATTGGACTCCACGGCAGACTTAACCCGACGCTGAACCATACGTGATACTGACTCGCCCTTCCACGGTAAACATAGGTATACTGGTTTAGCGGAAACTTCAGCATTCTTCTTTGGACTGGTCTCAGTTACATACTTCACAATAACAGACTCGGGGTATCCATTGAGACGAAAAAGCGCCCGTAACTTCTCCAACTCCTGCTCCAACCTTGAAGACGAACAAAGGCGACGTGCACGATCCACCAAATTACGCAACAAATTGATCTTATACAGTGTCGCGCAGTGTCGATCTGCTGAGGAAGGTTGTTGATGGTATGTTGGATTTCACGTGTGAATTTGAGGAGTCAGATCGTCTACCTTTTCTTGATGTGCTCGTTGAGAAGTCAATTGATGGTGGTGTTGTCACGTCGGTCTATCGCAAGCCTACGTTCACTGGCTTGTACATTGTTTGGGATTCGTTTTGCGCGACACTGTATAAGATCAATTTGTTGCGTAATTTGGTGGATCGTGCACGTCGCCTTTGTTCGTCTTCAAGGTTGGAGCAGGAGTTGGAGAAGTTACGGGCGCTTTTTCGTCTCAATGGATACCCCGAGTCTGTTATTGTGAAGTATGTAACTGAGACCAGTCCAAAGAAGAATGCTGAAGTTTCCGCTAAACCAGTATACCTATGTTTACCGTGGAAGGGCGAGTCAGTATCACGTATGGTTCAGCGTCGGGTTAAGTCTGCCGTGGAGTCCAATTACCATAATGTTCATATTCGCTTCATCTACTCCACGGTGCGTGCGTTCACGGTGAGGAAGGACGTCCTACCTACAGGCCAATTATCCAAGTTGATTTATCACTTCGAGTGTCGGCAATGTGAGAGCCGATATGTAGGTAGGACTCTTCAACATCTGGACGCACGCATCCGACAACACGCACCGCTACACCTTATTCCACAACACGCACGATCCACTCGACCACGGAGGGGACGTCCAGCAAAGAATCATCCTGGTACAAGATGGTCCAACGCAGCGGCATCAACACCAAGGAACGTCACCTCACAATTAACTAGACCACCAGAAAAACAACCGGACAAGACACCTACGTGCGTGGCAGTGACAGGAACCACATCAACCAGAAGAATAACAAGATCGGCAACGGCGGCGATGGCAGCGACTAAAGCACAGACAGAGGCAACGGCTAGGGTCCACTCGACTAGCCATGTGAAATCGGATGTGTCCACCGCACATGCTGATTGTTCTGATGTTAGTTCTGATAAGTATGAGTCGTCCATTGCTAGTCATTTGTTTGAGCATCCTGATTGTCGTGCTGTGTATTCGGATGATTGTTTTTCGATTGTGTCACGTGTACGCAGTGCTAGATTGCTGAATGTTTTGGAAGCTGTATACATCCACACAAGGAAACCCAACCTTTGCAAACAGAAACAAATCAAATTCACACTTAGGCTGTTAGGTAGGTCGTCAAAACCTCGTTAGTTACATGTATGTCCAGTGGTTGTCTCTTGTTGTCACACTACATGTCGCGCTTATTGAGTTTTCTCGCATTTGCACCTTTGTGTCATTATTGCAATTTTCGCTGTTTACTTTAGCTATCTTCTTTCTTTCTTTCTTTCTTTTTGCGCTGTTTTACCACCTTCTTACTGTATTTAATCCACTGTTCCTGTTCCTTTTCTCTTGCCTGTATTTCACCTGATGAGAAGGCTTGAAAGTATACTTGTGAAGACAAAAACTTTCAAGATGTTTGTAATGAGCCTGAAGTGTGTCCTTTTTATGAGTATTATCGCATTTTTGTCTCAGAGGAAACTGTGTACACCAGAACTAGATACGTTTTATCACTTTGTATACTTTTAGTGGCTGCTGGTATACTCGTTTTCCACATGACAACAATATGTATAAAAATTATCGAAATGATATACAAAGTCTTTCAATTAGTGCCATCGGCTTAGCCGTGCTGGTATGCTCAGACTATTTCTATCACAGGGCACACAATTATGTACTTACTGAGGTTTCTAATGACTGCCTCGTGTCCGCGGCTTCTGGCAGCTGCAATTCGTCTACTTCTCGACTCGACGAACTTAGAAAAATAGGGAATATAGTTTCTTCCTAATAAAAGAGGTACATTGAGGTTACGACCCCAAATTCCCACTCGTCATCACAGCAAAGAACAGAACTCATCATTTCCCACTACATTGGTGACTTAGGAACCCAGTGATATGATAGGAGAAACAAAATCAATTGCCAAAAATTAGGCAAAATTCTCCCTCAACTGCCATGAGCGTCGTCATCTTTCCCTGCATAAAACCTGTATCACCCTTTCCCGCAAATAAAATAAAAATCGGGCAAATCAAGGCTTGGCGCACGGACTGAGCACATTGCCCTCACTTTTCGTTCCTTGGACAATATACTGAACCTCGATAAGGACGCTGCCTCCATAACTGGCTGGCCATGTCTAATACAGGAAATCTGTGTTCAGTGCCATTGATTTCATAAATTGCACACTTACTCAAAAACAACTGTGATTCTCAGAGATGCAACTCTATGCTAATCGGGCCGTTTCCCGATGTACTGGCTAGCCTAGTTGCTTTTCGGTGTATCTGCGCCGTTGACCTCGTACCCAGTCATCGCTGTATTGGAATTCCTTTCGTATTTTGGTATGTCTGGAGTGTTTCAGTTTGAATGGGAGCACTTCAGCTGTACTGTAAATTAGTGTCGTGATCGGCATCATTCTCATGAAAATGGTTCTGGACAGAGCGATTCTGGCTCTTGTTGCCATGGCAACAACCATGGTTACGCTTGATATGGTGCTGCTGTATATGATCATGGTCCTTGGAGCGCAGGACTGTGGAACATACAATATTGTCTAACAGTTTAGCACCTTCTCTATCACTACTTTTTAAAAGTAGCTATGCGTGCATGCAAGAGTTCACAAACAGAATACCGTGTTATCTATAATATAAGCACAGTCTCCAATAATAGAACACCTTGGGGCGGCATTCAAAAAGTAAAGTTGTCAGTCTCCATTATAAGCACACTGTCTATCGGTACCTGGTAAAAATGCATGTACCGTATTATCTCTAAAATGCAGTACCGGCGAAAAAACCCGTGAAATGTGTGTGTCTGACATGAATTTGGCATGGCAACATGCCTCTCAAATGAGGTTGAAATAATAATGGAACAGTCTCCAATAAAGGAACGTCTCCATTAATACTCGGGTATTGAGCCAATAATAAAAGTAGAAAGGAAAAGGACATATGGAAACGAGTTAAGAGTAACTCTCCACCACTGTAACTAGATATTATATACAGTCAGAAAGTGCAACAACTAGGCACAAAACTGACAGAGTACTGAGACATTCGACGTCCTGACAGCTAGCTTCAACACATCTCCGTAGCGCTAATCGACAGCCTTCCAACTTGGAAGGTTCAAGGTTATTATTCTTTTATTCCACGATGGCGTGACGCCAATAAGGATGATTAATAAGTGCGATAGAACTGGTACTAGCCAGAAACAGCTAGATGGAAATTAACCGGGAGGCAAGAAGCAATGGATCTTGAAAAACAAGCGGGGGCAATAACGTTAGCAGGGGTGATCGAGATAGTTAAGTACACGTTCGAGATATCAGAAACCAGGGGGATGCGCGGAGCAGGAGCAGGTACTGCTCAAAAGAAGACTGGATGAATTGTTTCGGAAAGAATTTCTACGAGGTTGGGTTGTGATGTCGATAGGGAGTGAGTTGTAGAGGGTGAGGGCACTGTTGATGGGGGAATCTCGGTGCCTGTTCGTGTGTGCGTGTCCGATGGAGTAGGTCCTTGTCTGTCGAAGGGTGTATGGTTGGTGTTGACGTTGTGGTGCAAGATATGGTTGTTGCAGGTGTGGTGGGGAGGTTTGGTGGTGGATGTCCCATGCTAGTAGGGCTTGTTTAACAAGGAGTCGTGAGCTAAGGGTGGGGAGCTTTGCGTGATGGAGGAGGGAGCTGTGGTGAACTGGTGCAAAGAGGGGAATCCGAAGGCAGATGCGTATAGCACGGCGTTGAATTCTCTCCAGTGTGTCCCGCTGTTGCTGTGTGGTGTTGGAGAGGGCAAGGCTGCCATATTCGAGAACGGGTCGGATGTAGGTTGTGTATATTAACAATAGGCTGGAAGCGTTCATTGTGCCACGTGTCTTGTGGAGTTGGTGTAGTAGTTTTTTGGCTTTGTTGGTGGTTTCTATGATGTGTTGGGTCCATCGCAAATCGTCTTGGAGTGTAACACCAAGGTGCCTATGTTGGTGGACCTGCTGCAGCCGAGTCGAGTGGAGCGTGATGTGGATGGTGTGTTGGGGTTGGAAGGAAAGGACGACGGTTTTCGTGGTGTTGACGAGGAGATGCCAATCCTTCAACCATCGTCCTGCTGCGTCCACGGCACGTTGGAGGAATGCAGCTAACAAATCCCTCGTGTAATGCGTCGCGATGAGTGCCGTGTCATCGGCGAACTGGCTGCATTTAGTGTGAGAGTTTGTACATGCCGGGGGGAGGTCGATCGTGTACACCAGGAAAAGAAGAGGCCCCAGGACAGAGCCCTGGGGTACTCCAGCTGGAATGGATTTCCATGATGACAAAGCGGAGCCAACCTTGACGCGTTGTCGGCGGCGAGTCAGGTAGCTTGTGAGCCAGGTAAGGGCAATGCCACGGACACCAAGGTGCTCGAGTTTGGCCAGGAGGCCAGCATGCCAGACTCGGTCAAAAGCCTTTGATAAGTCAAAGAAGCATGCTGACACTGCCTGACCGGAATCTCGGCTGGCGGAAATCTCATGCACTAGGCGGGAGAGCTGTAGTTCAGTACTATCCTTAGATCGAATACCAGATTGGTCGGCCGGTAGGTGGGGCTCAATGTGGGTGTAGTTATGGAAAGACCAAAGAGGGGAAGGCTTTGTTAAATCGCCTACTGGTCTCGTCATCGTCCAGTGACAATCGACATTCTTTGTTCCGTTGGGACTGTAGCTTGTGCTCGTTTTCGTTGCGCTTGCCTTCCCCTCTTTGGTCTTTCCATAACCTTGAACCTTCCAAGTTGGAAGGCTGTCGGTTATCGCTACGGAGATGTGTTGAAGCTAGGTGTCAGGACGTCGAATGTCTCAGTACTCTGTCAGTTTTGTGCCTAGTTGTTGCACTTTCTGACTGTATATAGTATCTAGTTACAGTGGTGGAGAGTTACTCTTAACTCGTTTCCATATGTCCTTTTCCTTTCTACTTTCTCCATTAATAGCACGGGGCGGAGGTACATTGAAAACGTCTCCTGAGAGCGTGTCGCAGCAGTTTGTCGACGATTTAGAAGTCTGCGGCGATCAGCCTGTTCTTCAGTTTCCTGTGACCTTGCCCTCTGCAATCGAACCCTGGCTTGTTCGCGTCTGCGGGCAATGGCCTCTTCATCGTCGGACGACGTTATTGATGAGGACCGGCGGCGTCTTTTCCCAGACCGCTGAAGTCCTGGTGAGGGAGGTTCTTCATCGTTGGAAGGAGAAGGAGGGACGTCTGTTACGCCTTCGGGATGCTGGTCAGGGTTGTCCATCACCTGGTGGTGGATGAAGCGGCTCAAAACATTCATAAACTTACGAACAAAAGTGAAAGTGCGAAGCGTCGCCTAGGTCAAGTCTTCAAGTTTTTGTGGTAGCTGCACGATGCGCTCTTCACTGCAGATCAGATGCAGAGTGCAGTCAGTGCAGATCTTTTGTATCCTTTTTTTGCAGATGTTTCTTTTTGCAGAGAACGGTTCACGTGGTCCGCAGCGCTTGTGCGGCTGCTAGTGCTACCTAGTACCTATGGCCTAGGCAAGGTGGCTACACGATTCGCACGCTTCGCGTGCTCAGTGCTTCTGCGCGCGGCTGCTACTGCTACTCGTACTGCACTGATCGTGTCTGCTAGCTACACTGTTCGCACGCTTCGCGTGCTCAGCACGTGGTGGTGGCTACACGATTCGCACGCTTCGCGTGCTCAGTGCTTCTGTGGCTGTTTCCGGAATTCCGCTACCTACACGATTCGCACGCTTGGCGTGCTCAGTGCTTCTGCGGCCGCTAGCTACACTGTTCGCACGCTTCGCGTGCTCTGGGCAGCGCTGCTCCGCACGCGCAGCGCTTCTGCGTAACACACAGACAACCACACAGACAAACACACGTCACAGGTGCCTCTTCTTCATAAGTAAAGATTAGGTACTACATGTACACGTACATGTACTGCGCTGTATGACTGGAGTAGTAATAGATCTAGTCGATTCGATCTGGCGTAGAATTGTTACATGTACATGTACTTTAGAATGACGAGACAAATTGAGACTCGGGCTGGTCGAGGATTAAAATTATCGTAAACGACCCCATCTCCTTTTTTTCATTGTGCGAACCCATTGACAAAGAAAGTAAAAGTGGGGAGGCTTCCTGCAGTTTCATAAACATTAAAGAGCAGAGCCCACACGCTCTCTTCCATCAACACTGCAAAAATTCAACTCATTTCACAATCATTAGTGCAACGTTTAGGCAAATTGCCTTCATCAGGTTCACAATGATGTGCAAGCTCCAAAACCAGCATTGATAGCTGGCATTCGGTCCGTTGAAACTACTTGCACGACCTGCAATACAAAAGATAACCAAATGTGGCACCAGTGGCATGGAGGGTTCATGGACGTGCTGGACAGGCATGCTCCGCAGATGCTTACAAGTCAGGGGAAACGGCCATCAAACCCGCCCTGGTCGGATAGAGACTTTTTCCAGCTAAATCAGCGGAAAATCCGACTCCACAAGAAATGGCTCGCGAACAAAGGGGACTGGGCGGCACATCAGGACTTCAAGCGAGCCAGATCTGCATGCTCAAATGCGTACTGCAGAAAACGCAATGAGTACTTCCGCACCCAGTGCAGTGAGAATAACTCTAATCCTCGTCAAATGTGGTCGGTTATCAATCAGGTCACAGGACGAAGCCGTCAACACCAGGAGCCCGCATGCCCTATGGATGCAGTAACCACCGCGTTCCACAAGGTTATCACGGACACCAGCCGGCCGCAAAGTCTCCAGATACCAAGCGGATCACCCCCACAGCAATGTCTCAT